GGAAGGCTCTCAGTTTTTCCCCATTGAGGATGATGTTTGCTGTAGGCTTGTGGTAGATGGCTTTAATTATGTTGAGGAAGGTCCCCTCTATACCCATTTTGGCTAGGGTTTTCATCATAAAGGGGTGCTGGATCTTATCAAATGCTTTCTCTGCATCTATTGATATGATCATATGCTTTTTATCTTTTCTTTTGTTGATATGGTGGATTATGTTGATTGATTTCCGAATGTTGAACCATCCTTGCATCCCTGGGATGAATCCTACTTGGTCATGGTGTATGATCTTTTTGATGAGTAGTTGGATTCTATTTGCTAGTAGTTTGTTGAGGATCTTTGCATCTGTGTTCATCAGGGATATCGGCCTGTAATTCTCTTTCTTTGTGGTATCTCTGTCTGCTTTTGGTATCAGTGTGATATTTGCTTCGTAGAAACTGTTTGGAAGTGTTTTTGATATTTCAATTTCGTGGAAAAGCTTAAAGAGTATTGGGAGTAAGTCCTCTTTAAAGATTTGGAAGAATTCACTAGTGAATCCATCCGGGCCAGGACTTTTGTGCTTGGGGAGACTTTTTATTACCATTTCAATTTCCTTGATGGTGATAGGTCTGTTCAGGTATTCCAGGTCTTCTTGGTTCAGCCTTGGGAGTCTGTAGGAGTCTAGGAATTTATCCATTTCCTCGAGGTTTTGATGTTCCGTGGCATAAAGCTTCTCAAAGTACTCCCTGAGGATCCTCTGAATTTCTGTGGTTTCTGTTGTAATGACCCCCTTTTCATTTCTGATTCGGTTTATTAGGGTTTTCTCTCTCCCTTTCTTTGTGAGTTTTGCTAGAGGCTTATCAATCTTGTTAATTTTCTCGAAGAACCAGCTCTTGGTTTCATTGATCTTTCGGATTGTTTTTTGGGTTTCCATCTCGTTAATCTCTGCTCTGAGTTTTATTATTTCCTTTCTCCTGTTCGGGTTGTGCTCCTTTTTTTGGTCCTTCTCCAAGCTCTTAAGCTGTGAGGTTAGGTTACTTATGTGTGCTCGCTCCTCCTTCCTGAGGAATGCTTGTAGAGCTATAAACTTTCCTCTTAACACAGCCTTTGCTGTGTCCCATAAGTTTTGGTAACTCGTGTTCTCATTTTCATTCGTTTCTAGGAATCTTTTGATTTCCTCTTTGATTTCCTGTCTAATCCACTCGTTGTTCAATAGTGCACTGTTTAATTTCCAGGTGTTTGATTTAGTTTTCTGTTTTTGTGTGTGATTTACTTCTAATTTCAGCGCATTATGGTCTGAGAAGATTGTTGATACAATCTCTACCTTCTTAATTTTATGGAGGCATGTTTTGTGGCTCAGCATGTGGTCTATCTTGGAGAATGTTCCATGTACGCTTGAGAAGAATGTGTATTCAGCTTTTTGTGGATGAAGTGTCCTGTATATATCTACTAAGTCCCTTTCTTCCATTGTTTCCCTCAAATGAAGTATGTCCTTGCTAAGCTTGAGTCTGGTTGATCTATCAAGAGGTGACAAAGCAGTGTTGAAGTCTCCCACTAGTATTGTGTTGCTATTGATGTCTTTTTCCAAATCTATGAGTAGTTGTTTTAAGTACTTTGCTGGTCTCTCATTAGGTGCATATACATTTATTATTGTAAGTTCTTCCTGTTGTACAGATCCTCTGATCAATAAGTAATGGCCTTCACTGTCTCTTATGACCTTCCTCACTCTGAAATCAATGTGGTCTGATATAAGGATGGCTACCCCAGCTTTTTTATGGGAGCTGTTTGCCTGTAGGATTGTTTTCCAGCCTTTGACGAGTCTGTGTTTGCTTTGACTATTGAGATGCGTTTCTTGCAGGCAGCAGAATGTTGGGTTCAATTTTCTAATCCATCCTGCCACTCTATGTCTTTTAATTGGTGCGTTTAGCCCATTGACATTGAGAGAGATTATTGTTATGGGATTTTGTCCCATTGTTATGTTAAAATTGGGTGTATTTGAGGGGCCTTTCTTGCCTTAAAGTAGCCCATTTAGTTGTTCTTGTAACCATGGTTTTGAGTCTATGAAGTTCCTGAGCTGTTGTTTGTCTGTGAAACTGTGTGTTGTTCCTTCTATTATGAATGAGAGTCTTGCTGGGAAAAGTATTTTGGGGGAGGCATTTATTTCATTGAGTTTTTTTACTATGTCCCACCACTGTTTTCGGGCCATGAGGGTTTCATCAGAAAAATCAGCTGTGAATTTTAAGGATGCTCCTTTGTAAGAGATTTCTTTCTTCGATCTTGCTGCTTTCAGAATTTTGTCTCTGTCTAAGGTTTTGGTCATTTTGATCAGAATGTGTCTTGGGGTATTTTTATTCGGATTTCTTCTAGCTGGTACCCTTCGGGCCTCCTGAATGTGGTCACAAGTTTTCTTCAGCTCTGGAAATGTTGTAGCAATGATGTCTTTGACAGTTTCTTCTTCATCGAGGTTTTCTTCCTGTCCCTCTGGGACTCCAATAATTCTTATGTTACCCCTCTTGGCTTCATCACGATCTTCTCTTGCCATCTGTTCCCGAATTGTGAGTCTCTTTTCCATTTTCTGCTCTTTTCGGGAGAGTCTCTGAACTTCATCTTCGAGCTCACTGATTCTGTTCTCAGCCGCTGTTACTCTGCTGCTGAGGCCTTCCACTGAGCTTTTCAATTCGCCTACGAGATTTTTCAGGTCTGACATTTCTGATTGCATTTTCCTCATTTCTGCCTTCAGATCCTCTTGTCTTCTATTGGCATTGCTTTCCATTGTTTCTTTTAATTCCCTAAGCATGCTAAGTAGCTCCCTTCTGAATTCCTTGTCAGAGAGGTTGTCTAACACTACAGTACTGTTGGTGTCATCTGGGCTAGACTCTTCAATATGAATGTTTGGTGGGCTTTTGCGTTGCTTTACCATTGTGAGAGGTGTGGTTTAGTCCTTCACGTTCAGTGTTACTATTCTGCTTGATATGCAGTGTGAGTTAAGATAGGCTTATGAGTTATTGGCAACTGTATTTCTAGTGGCTGAGCTAAAATAGAGAAGTTTCCATCTAAGAAGTTAGCTTATGGTTCCTATGGCATATGTAGTGGGAAAATATTTCGCGGCCGCGTCAGCGGCCGCGGCTCCGGAAAAAGTCCCTGGCACTGGGCGAGGAGTTGGGAATGTCTCCTGTTTGGAATTGGAGCCGTTCAGCTTTGTTGCCCAGAGCTGGGCCTCTGTGCCCGTCCCACGCGGCTCAGGGGTTGAAAACCGGCTGTCTCGGGGCTCGATGCTTTTAAGGAAAGGCCCATGCAGGGCTCATTCAGGCCTTTTTAGAGTCCAACATCAGCTCTCAGAAGTCGCCAAATAAAACTTCTTGATTTTTTTTCTGTTAGTGGATATTATCATCTCTGAGATCAACTATGATATAATACTTCTTGCCTCATTCTCACAGTGGATTTCACTGATTCTAGAAGAAAAAATAAGGGCACATATTTCTTCTATGGTGAAAGGTACTTTATGACTAAAGGGAATAGTTTTGATCTTGGCGTCTGATCAGATAAAACAGTCACCATTACCTATGAACTTGCTAGGGACAAAGATCACTATTACTCAATTCTTAGGAAAAATCTCAATGTTAGGATTCACCATTCCATTTTCTTATAGGGAAACTCTTTAGACAAGTAAAAGAGTGCCTTTCAAACAGCAAAACCACATTTCAAAATCAAATAACTGCTGATATTTTATGTACTGTATAGCTTATCACCTTGATGAATATTTTTGCTCATTTTTCTACATAGGAAAAAATTTACATGGTGCTTTTCGGCAGATAGATTGATTTTCCCCATGGTACCAACTCTTTAGTCAAAATGTTAGCATAAGTACCATAAAAATAGAAAAGTTGGGTAATTCTACCAAGCAAAAGCCATATTAATTCATAATTAATTTGTATTTTTCACTCTGTTGTCTTTATGGCACTTCTTACTATTCATACTTATTTTATTATCTGATTGTTTACTTGTTTCCTTCCATTTTTCCATTAACAACCTACTTCACAAAGGCAAAGCAATGCATTTTTTATTTACCATTGTACACTTAACACATAGGATATTTTTGTCATAAACTAAGAACTTTAATTGTTGCATTGGATGACTAAACTGCACAACTAAATCTGCTTTAATTTTTTAATTTTTGGCCTTTGTCTAGGACCAGAGAGACAATAGAGGGGTTAAGGCACTTTCCTTACGTGCAACCCTTCTTGCTTCTATCCCAGCACCCCATATGGTACTCCAGTGCCAGGAGTTAAGTCTTGAGCACCATCATGTGTGGCCTAAAACAAACAAACAAACAAATGTAAAGTTCATTATTCCAATCTTACTAACTTACACTCCCTTTGAAAAATCTTCAGCTTTTCTGTCTTGGTAGTTCTAATCTTTGTTGTATTTCTGCTCTATATCTGTTATCCCCTTAAGAAATTAAACAATATCAATTTTCTCTGGGTACTTTCCTTAAACAACTTGACCAGTAAATTTCAAATGAATCTGGTTAACTTATTTTCTTTTCACTTTTCCCAACCACATTTCCACATCTGATTTTTTTTGTTTTATGTTTAGAAGACCTATTTCTTTTGGGAGAAAGTAGGCACACATAGAAGTCCTTAATCCTGGCTCTGATAGAGATCACTCCTGCCATGCTTGTGTGACTATATGAGACACAGGCGACTGAATATAGGTCAACTACATAAAGGCACGTGCCCTACCCACTGTCTAGTGCTCAGGCTCCACAAATGATGTATTTCCTATAATAGATTTTAACTGATGTTTCATCATATTTGCTCGAGCGGGCTCAGTAACGTCTCCATTGGAGACTTTGTTGTTACTGTGTCTGGCATATCGAATACTCTCGGTAGCTTGCCGGGCTCTCCGAGAGGGGCGGAGGAATCGAACTCGGGTCGGCCATGTTGGCCGCTCATCATATAGAAACTAGTGATTGTTTTCATTTTATTACATACATGTTTAATAGCATCGATCTTATTTTTTAACAGTTTGCAGTTGAATGAAATGTCCTCTCCAGCAAAAATTACATCACTTGTTAAACAACACATTCCTGATGCCAAACTATCATCAAAAAGTGAAGGAAAACTTGTCTATACATTGCCCTTGGAAAGAACAAATAGATTTCCAGGTAATGTACTGACATACCAAGTAATGAATATATGAGTACTATTAATAATAATAATTATTTTGTTACAATTTATTGAGAAAAATTTATAACATGTTTAGTAATCTGAAGTAAGACAAAAATAGTCTAATATCTGAATCATTTTATCTATAATATAAAATAGCACAGTATCATAATTTTTCATTTCATTTCATCATCCTGTTATTCGTCGATTGCCTCGAGCAGGCCCCAGTAACGTCTCTTTCATCCTAGCCCTGAGATTATATTCAAGGCTCTTTAGGAGAATGAGACCCATCATTGTTACTGGTATTTTGCATATTTGGTACGCCACGGGGAGTTTGCCAGACTCTACCCTGTGGGCAGGCTACATTCGATAGCCTGCAAGTTTGTCCAAAGTAGGAATGAGATAATAAGATGTCATAAAAAGATGTCCTGATAAGATATCGCACGGCCACAAATGTGGCCACGCGGTTCCGGGAGCTGGATTTTATAGTCTCTGAGTCTTGGCCGTTGATGGGATTACACGGCGCCAGGGGGGCAGGTGGTGGGTGTGACCCCCGCCTGCTGGAATTTGGAGGATCTGGGTGGACGATGCTCGACTCCAATCCGAGTAGGCTTGGAGATCTTGGCCCCGGAACCCACGTGGCTTTGTCCCTCTGCCAGTACCTTCATGTGTGCGGAGAGTGGCCTCAGCATGGTGGTGGCTGGTCCTGGAGGTCTTCAGCTGCTGGAGCCCTGGTCGGGGCGGGGAGGAAAGCTCAACCCTCTCCCCTCCAAGGGGCCCCGGCGAGGAAAAGTCAGGAGCGGGGGCAGGAGACTGCATTGGTCTCGTCCGGGAGCTGGATTTTATAGTCTCTGAGTCTTGGTCGTTGATGGGATTACACGGTGCCAGGGGGCCAGGTGGTGGGTGTGACTGGAATTTGGAGGATGTGGGTGGAGGATGCTCGACTCCAATCTGAGTAGGCTTGGAGATCTCGGCCCCGGAACCCGCGTGGCTTTGTCCCTCTGCCAGTTTCATAATATATTTGCATGATAATGTATGAGCATTTTAAGGAACTCTTTAATCCTTCATTCCCTTGTGGTTATAATTGGGCTTGAACACAAGTGACTGGAAACCTCTAGATTAAACATCAGTTAAACATCAGGATAAACAACCTCATGGTGTGCTTGTTCTTTCCCTGGATATGACTCTTGCGATAACTTTCAGTTTTTCAAGTTGATATATGAAAGATTGCTTTATGACAGCTACTTTGAATTCTCCAACAGATAAACCATAGAGCTTCCTGTCATTGGTGCTCATTTTGGAGTTTAGTCTAGTTCCTTTGTGTGACATACCTTTGATTTTTCTCTTTCCATGAATCTGTTTTTATGTCTGTACATCACCTTTCCTAGTCTTTACAGACTGACCTTGTACAGGAGATGACCCCCACCAATCAGACTAGTCAGAAAGTATAAGAGTCTTAATCAACTATTTGGTTCCCCGGGCAAAAATTTGAGGGCTTAAGGGGGGGTTGTTTTTGCTTTGACCATTCTGGGTTGAACTATGGTATTATGTTATCCATAATAATCAGATCCATTTAATATAAGAAGTGTTGGACACATAGAAAATAAAACTAGAGTAAATTATCCAGAAATAGACCCATGCAAATATACCTGAGTTTTGACAAAGCAGAATAACAATTCAATGGAGGAGCAATAAACTTTAAATAAATGGTACTGAGATGGGTGGAGCTGTAAGATTAAACATATCCACTGTCTACTTTTCCCTATATCTCATATCTTGTGCAGAAATTAGCTTAAGATGAGTAACGTACTTAAGTATAAAAAAAAGGCCCACAAGTATAAAATGGATAACTAAAATTCTGTTCAAAAATATTAAAGATCTATAACTAGAGAGGAGTTCTTAGATTTGACACCAAATGCATACTCCATGAAAAAAAAATGATTAGGGTACCAGAGAAATATAGCACATAGGGTTCTTGGCTTGCATGTAACCAACCTGGGTTCAATCCCCACCATCCCATATGGTCCCCCAAGCACCACCAGTAGTAATTCTTAAGTGAAAAACCAGACATAACCCTTGAGCATTGCCAGGTGTGGCCCCAAAATAAAACAAAATAAAAAGATGGATTGCACGTTACCATATTCAAAACCTGTTAAATAGGCAATAAAAATAAGCTACATGCTGACAAAGTGTTTTCAGGCTTTATATCTCAAAAATTATTGGTATGTATGTTATATAGTGAACTCTAAAACTCATCTATAACAGGCAGACAATTGAAATGAACAAAAAAAGAGATAAAAATATTTAGAAAAAAAGAGATAAAAATAGTAAAAACTAAAGGAGAAATTCAAATGCCAAGCAAATCAAAAGATGCTACCATCCTATGCCTTCAGGGAAATGCACATTAAAACCACTCAAATTTCATTACTGACTTATCAAAAGAGCTCATAATTTTTTGTTTTGTGTCAATGTTTAATGACTACTAACCATATAAACTTATGGAATTACTTTTCATTGATATTAACATTATTTTTAACATATGGAAAATATCAAATTCTAATTAATATGTAAAGAAATAGACACTCATAGTTACTGTTGGGACTATAAAATGATGCAAACCTTTGGAGAATGTTTTACAGTTCAAAACTAAATCTAGCTCAGAAATATAGTGCAGGGTGCTTGCCTTACAAGTGCTTGCCAACCCCAGTTCTAATCCCCTGGAACTGAATATGGTTCCTGAACACCACCAGGGATCATCCTGAGCACAGAACCAGAAATAACTCCTGAACAGGATAAGGTATGGGCCCCAAACCGCAAATAAGTATTAAACCTACAACACTAATCCTAACATCTGCACTACTAAGCATTTAATCTAAAGATACGGAAACATGTTACATGCACATGAATGTTTAGCCTAATTTGAAATAGATGAAAATTGAAACAGTGTAAATAATTAAATGAACGAATGGAGTCCTATGTACAGAATTATAAAGGAATTATAAAGGAATTGTCACAATTACTATTTTAAGAAAATGTGAAGCTAATTCCTCATTGCCCGGGAAATATTTTGAGTATTGTCAATAGTCAGAAGCAGAATAAAAACTATCTATATTTTATGTGCTTCTTAAAGAAGGCTTAAAGAAGGTTCTATGGAATCCAGTCAATTCTTTAAGAACTTACTTTTGAGAAACCCAGTTAATTCCTAAAAAATAAATTACTTCTGTGGTGGGAAGATGTCTGAGAGAGATGGAGGGCCTGCTTAACGTGGAAGAGCACTGGGTTTGATCCCTGCAGTGCAATTGCCCTGAGGACAAAAAGGAGTAACCTCTGAGCTCAAAGCCGCTTTTTTGTTTTTGGGTGTGGCCCAAATACAAAAGTAAATTAAGTTTCTCTCTTGTAGATGAAAACACAAATGAGTCCCATTTGTTTCTGATTTCTGAAAACTATTTAAATTGATAATAGTACTTAATGTTGAAAAATATTACATTGTACTATTAATTAAAATTTAAAGGCAGTCACGGTCCTCTCGTTGTTCATCAATTTGCTCGAGCGGGCCCAGTAACGTCTCCATCATGAGACTTGTTGTTACTGTGTTTGGCATATCGAATACTTCACGGGGAGCTTGCCAGGCTCTGCCGTGTGGGCGAGATACTCTCGGTAGCTTGCCAGGCTCTCCGAGAGGGGCGGAGGAATCGAACTCGAGTCGGCCATGTTGGTCGCTTGTAAGGCAAACGCCCTACTGCTGTGCTATCGCTCCAGCCCAAAGGCAGTCATATAAAAGGTAAAAGTTTATTTTTTAAAGTTTATTAAAAGTTTACTTTAATTTAATTAATTTTTGATTTGGGGTCATGCCCACTAATTCTCAGGACGTATTCTAAGTTTTATACTCAGAGGTCACTCTTGGTGGGACTCAGGGAACCATACATGGAGCTAGGGATCAAATTAGGGTTAGCTGCATGCAAGACAAGTGTCTTACCTCCTCTACTAACTCTCTAGCACTCAAAAATGAAATTGTAATATAAATACAGATAAATTCTTTCATCAAAAGAAGTTTGGAGGGCTTGGGAAATAGAGTAGTGGTACAGCACATGTTTAAAATGTGCAAGACCTGCAAATCAATCCTTCATGTCCCATCACCTCTTGAACATTCTTAGTATAGCCTTGGTTGTCCTGAGCACCACCAGGTATGGTCCCAATAAGTAGGAAGTTCGTGATTGAAACAAACAATGCAAAATAGTCTAATGGGTCAGAGAGATATCTCAGTGATGTAAGCCATTTTTTGCATACAGGAAATCTGCAATCAATTCCACACATGGACTTAGGAGTAGCACATGACATCTGCAGAACGTGGCCCCCAACCAGAAAATGATGATATTGACATTGAAAATTAATATTTACATTTATAAATTGCTAATGTGTTCATTTAAAAATCTGACATAGGGACTAGAGTTACAGCACCGCGGGTAGGGCGTTTGCCTTGCATGCGGCTGACCCGGCTTTGATGTCCAGCATCCCATGTGGTCCCCCAAGCACCACCAGAGGTAATTCCTGAGTGCAGGGCCAGGAATAATCCCTGTGCATAGCCAGGTGTGATCCAAAAAGCAATAAATAAATAAGTAAAAATAAAATAAAAATCTGGCATATAGCATATATAAATCACATATATTTCATATTTTTATATTTATGTGTTCTTTTGTTTGAAAAAGTCAAGTTATCCAAGTTACTTTCTGACTTTTGTTGGTGTAATTCATAACTATGTATGTGTTTCTTAGAACTTTATAAGAATCTTGACAGCTGTTCTGACCTGGGAATTGAGAATTACGATGTTTCCATGAGAAGTTTGACTGAAGTGTTCCTGAAACTAGAAGGAAAATCAGTTATTGATGAATCAGGTAAAGAAAATGCATAAAATTTAAAACATCATGTAAATATAATTGCAATATCTAGTGCAATATATTTTATAAAAAGACACTTACAAGGGTGTGATTGCAAAATGGGGTGTCTTATGATTGAGGTTGATCTCAGACAATCATATCACGACGATCACGACCACCCTGTTGTTCGTCGATTGCCTCGAGCAGGTGCCAGTAACGTCTTCTTCGTCCTAGCCCTGAGATTTTTTTTTTTTAAAGTGCCATATTCAAGGCTTTTTCAGGGTTAGGAGAATGAGACCCATCATTGTTACTGGTATTTGGCATATTGGGTATACCACGGGGAGTTTGCCAGACTCTGCCGTGTGGCATGTTACATTTGGTAGCCTGCCAGTTTGACCGAATTAGGAATGAGATGATAAGATGTCGCGCGGCCGCGAATGCCGCTTCCGGGAGCTGAGTGTGATAATCTCTGGATCCTGGCCGTTGTTGGAGTTACACGGCAGTTGGTGGGTGTAACTGTCTAGTTACTGGCAGGTCCAGTCCCAAACTGTACAGGCTTGGAGATCTCAGCCCCGGGTCCCACACACCTGGGTTCCTCTGTCAGTTCTTTTATGCGTGAGGCTCATCCAAGTGTGTGGAGAGTGCTCCCAGCAAGGTCTTGGTTGGGCCTCGGTGGTCTCCAGCTGTTGGGCCCTGGTGGAGACAGTCAGGCATAGGGTAGGAGACTCTGTCTTGTTCTCTCCCAGGAGCTGAGTGTGATGATCTCTGGATCCTGGCCGTTGTTGGAGTTACACGGCAGTCGGTGGGTGTAACTGTCTAGTTACTGGCAGGTCCAGTCCCAAACTGTACAGGCTTGGAGATCTCAGCCCCGGGTCCCACACACCTGGGTTCCTCTGTCAGTTCTTTTATGCGTGAGGCTCATCCAAGTGTGTGGAGAGTGCTCCCAGCAAGGCCTTGGTTGGGCCTCGGTGGTCTCCAGCTGTTGGGCCCTGGTGGAGACAGTCAGGCATAGGGTAGGAGACTCTGTCTTGTTCTCTCCCAGGAGCTGAGTGTAAAGCATTATATATGGGATATAATAATATTATATAAGGAACATATATAAACCATACATATCCCTTGTCACATTTGTTAACCCTCCTGACTGTTATTAGAGACAGCTTATTTTCTTTCATACAATGTTAATTGTCCCCATTTTATTTTTCAAAAATAGTTACAGACAAAAAGAAAAAGCTATCTTATTCCAAATCTGTCTCTTCAAATACTGTGAATTCATTTTTCTATGTACAAATTCATCTTTCTGTCTGTTGATCACCATGGTTTCTGAGAAGTCAGTTTTATATTTTAATGAGAGTCTCTTGAGTAGGGAGGTCCTTTTCTCTCTGCTTTCAGAGCTGTCTCCATATTTAGACAGTTTTAAGAGCCAAAGACCATAATGTCATTGGGTGTTAATTTCCTTGTGTATTTCATAGTAGAGTATCTTTCATCAAAATATTGGTTCTTTTTAATTCCATTATTTGTTGCATTATGCTTTCTAAACTTTTTTGCTTTGTGCTCTTTTGGAAATTACATTATTGTACATGACAATACATGCTAGCATGCTTGATAGTGTTTCACAATTCTTTCTTGCTTCTGTTCTTTAGAAATAATAATTCCTAGGGACATTGGTGGTAGGAAACATACACTGGTGAAGGGAAGGGTGTTGGGATGTTGTCTGACTGAAACCCAATCATGAACAACTTTGTAACTGTGTATCTCACAGTGATTCAGTTAAAAATGAATAAATAAATAAATAAATAAATAAAGGCACACACAAAAATAAATAATAATGCAAATTTTCTTTTGTCATATTCATTGATTCTTTCATCAGATGATATCTGTTCGGCCCTTTTTAGTGATTTTTACATATATACATATAGAAGAAAAAGATATTTAAATTTTTGATTATATTTTCCCATTATCATCCCATATCCTTAATAATTTACCTTTTGTCTCAAGACATTAGCAGTTCTTATATTCTTTGATTACTGGAGGCAGATTATCTCTGCATGGAAACTTCCTTATTTTTCTATTATTTCTTTTTTTTTTTTTTGCTTTTTTTTGAGGGTGGGGGGGAAGGTCACACCCGGAAATGCACAGGGGTTATTCCTGGCTCTGCATTCAGTAGTTACTCCTGGCGGTGCTCAGGGGACCATATGGGATGCTGAGAATTGAACTTGGGTCGGCCATGTGCAAGGCAAATGCCCTACCCTCTGTCCTATCTCTCCAGCCCCAATTTTTCTATTATTTCTAAACATTATTGATACCGCAGAGATAGAACAATGGGCAAAGCACTTACCTCACACATGGTCTATCTGAGTTTAATCCCCAGCATCACATATGGTCCATTGAGTCCCATTAGGATTAATCCCAGAGTTTAGAACAAAAAGTCTGAGCACTGCCAGGGATGGCCCCAAAACAAAAATAAATGAAAAAGTGAAAATTGGAGTGCACATTTATGTAGAACTCTATATGTACATCGTATAAGTCTAACTTAATAGATATGCTTTTCAATATGTAGGGGAATATCATTCCAACATTTGAACCAAATGACTAATAATCATCAGAAACTGATTTTTATCCTATTTCCTAAGGGATATATTTCTTTGCTTCTTCATAAGTGTCACGCTTTTTGTTGTATATGTGGATGAGCTGCACATAAGTTCGATATTAAACCAAATCTTTTAATAAGAAAACAAAGATGAGATAATGGCATAACTTATTCTAAAAGCCTGTTTATGTGGATGACTAAACCTTAATCTAATTTGAATTTGGCAACTATCAGGGGATTTTATACAGTCTTATTTGCTTCCGTTTACCACAGTCATAAATTTTGAAGGGAGACTCTGACAGATCCTTGACTCTGACTTCTTATTCTATTTTGGGTAAAATTCTAGGAAGCATTGTATGGTTCCATTGCCAAATTTCTCAAAAAAAATGATAGATAACTGGTTTTCAGTAAAGCATTTTTTATTTGGGCTTAGGGTATTATTGTTATCATTCTGGTTTTGGATCACAAACCAATGGTACTCAAGGCATACTCCTGGCTCTGTGATCTGATGTCAGTTCTGGCTGTGCTCAGAAGATCATATCTGGTGCCAGTAATTGAACCGTGGTTGGCTGCATGTAAGGCAATTGCCTTAAACTCTGCACTATCTCTTCAGTTCCAGGGAGTTACTTTTTACAACTAGAAAGTTATTCTTTCTTTTCACTTTTGTTCATGAACTACCATGCTTTGGATAACTCACCAACTTACCAGCTTACACAAGTTAAATACGTCAATATATTGTATCCAGACAAGAATTAGTCTACTCAGATTATAGCTCTCTTTGCTCACTGGTCAAATGATCAGCTCTTGGTAGACTTCTTTTACAACGGAGGATTTTCCATACCACCAGATGATGTCTCGCAAAAGTAAATACTCTATTTTGCATGTAGCCGTCCAATTTTGCCAGCACAGTTTATTGAAGAGGCTTTCCCTGCTCCATTTCACTTTTCTTGCCCCCTTATCAAAAATTAGATGATTATATGTTTGGGAGGAAATGTCAGTATATTCAACTCTGTTCCATTGGTCTGCAGCTCTGCTTTTGTTCCAGTACCATGCTGTTTTAATTATTACTGCCTTGTAGTAGAGTTTGAAGTTAGGGAGGTTGATTCCTCCCATTTTCTTTTTCCCAAGAATTGCTTTAGCTATTTGTGGGGGCTTATTGTTCCATATAAATTTCAGGAGTGTTTGCTCCATTTCTTTGAAGAATGTCATGGGTATCCTTATAGGGATTGCATTGAATTTGTACAGTGCTTTGGGAAGTATTGTCATCTTGATGATGTTGATTCTCCCCATCCATGAACAGGGGATATTTTTCCATTTCCTCGTGTCCTCTTTTATTTCCTGAAGTAGCGTTTTAAAGTGGGCTCAGATCTCTGCCTAACACCATGCACAAAAGTAAGATCAAAATGGATTTATGACCTCAACATTAGACCAGAATCCATAATGTTTATTGAAGACAAAGTCGGCAAAACTCTCCATGATATTGAAGCTAATGGTATCTTCAAAGATGTCACGCCACTGGCCGAGCAAGTGAAAACAGAGATAGACAAATGGGACTATTTTAAACTAAGAAGCTTCTGCACCTCAAAAGAAACATTGACCAAAATACAAAGACAGCCTACAGAATGGGAAAGGATATTCACCAAGTACACATCCGACAAGGGGTTGATATCAAGGATATACAAGGTACTGGTTAAACTCCACAAGAAGAAATCACCCAACCCCATCAAAAAATGGGGTGAGGAAATGAACAGAAACTTTCGCAAAGAAGAAATTCGAAGGGCAAAAAGGCACATGAGAAAATGCTCTACATCACTAATCATCAGAGAGATGCAGATCAAAACCACAATGAGATATCATTTCACACCACAGAGACTGGCCCACATCCACAAGAACAAAAGCAACCAATGCTGGCGCGGATGTGGCGAGAAAGAGACCCTCCTTCACTGCTGGTGGGAATGCCGGCTGGTCCAACCCTTTTGGAAAACAGTATGGACGACTCTCAAAAAATTAGAATTTGATCTGCCATTTGACCCAGCTATAGCACTCCTGGGAATATATCCCAGAGAGGCAAAAAGGTATAGTCGAAGTGACATCTGCAATTGTTTGTTCATTGCAGCACTCTTTACGATAGCCAGAATCTGGAAAAAACCTGAATGCCCAAGAGCAGATGACTGGTTAAAGAAACTTTGGTACATTTACACAATGGAGTACTATGTAGCTGTTAGAAAAGATGAAGTTATGAAATTTACATACAAGTGGTACTACATGGAAAGTATCATGTTAAGCGAAATGAGTCAGAAAGAGCGGGATAGACACAGAAAGATTGCATTCATCTGGGGAACATAAAGCAACAAAAAGGGAGATTAACACCCAGGAATGGCTGAGATTAGTACCAGTAATTTTGCTCCATGAATGGAAGGCCAGCCACAGGCTCTAGTTGAAAAGGAAGCTCAGATAGAGAAGAGAGTACCAAATGAAGGGTGTTGTGAGGGCCCTCCCAGGGTGGGAGAAGCATGCTAAAAGTAGTCAATAGACCAAACATGATTGCCACTCAAAGCCTCTCTTGCAAAACACAGTACCCAAAAGAAGAGAGAGAGAACAAGGGGGAATACCCTGCCACAGAGGCAGGATGGGACGGGGGGGGGGGGGGGGAGATGGGGGGGATGCTGGGACCCGTGGGGATGGATGACGGGCACTGGTGGAGGGATGGGCACTTGATCATTGTATAACTGAAACCCAAGCACAAAATTTGTAAGCCTATAACTGTACCTCATGGTTTTTCACTAATAAAAAAAGAAAAAGAAAAAAAAAAGTAAATACCCTATGCATCTTAGTGTAGATATCTCCTAGATTTTTCTTCCTGTCTCCAGGCTATGGTGTTAAATTCTGCTGCCAAGCATAGCATCTACTCTGGGGAATAATTTGGTTGATTACTGTAAACTCATTTTGTAGCTTTTTCATTAAATGAGTCTAGTCAGTTATTACAGCTTTCATATCACTATATAAGTCTTTAATCTGAATGCCAACTCCTTCTTTATAATCCCTAAGTTATTCTTTTAATATACTCTTGACAACTATCTCTTGTTAAGATATGTATATCTTGATTGATAACTGGGGCTGGAGTGATAGCACAGCGGGTAGGGCGTTTGCCTTGCAAGCGGCCAACATGGCCGACCTGAGTTCGATTCCTCCACCCCTCTCAGAGAGCCCGGCAAGCTTCCAAGAGTATCTCGCCCACATGACAGAGCCTGGCAAGCTACTCGTGACGTATTCAATATGCCAAATACAGTAACAATTGTCATAATGGAGACGTTACTGGGCCCGCTCAAGCAAATCGATGAACAACAGGAGGACAGTGACAGTGATTGATAACTGGACTGCTGTGTTTTCCTGTCCATGGTAAAGCCTGTCTGTTAATGGTTGTATGTTTTTTGAATTTTAGTGTTAGATTTGTTTTATTTTTGTATAATAGACAATATCCAGTGGTTACAGAAAATAAAAGGATGTATCCTCAAGTAGTGTGAATACATATCATATTCCTCCAGTGACATATTCATGTCAATTCCAAGTTTGTAACCTGTCAGTTTGTAGCTTATCATTCAAGCTTAGAAGATGAACATCAAAGATAAGCATTCCCTTCACCAATTTTTTAAAACAGCTAGACACTATAATAATTGTGTAGCACTGCACTGCACTGCCCTCCCATTGTTCATCGATTTGCTCAAGTGGGCACCAGTAATGTCTCACAACAAATTGTGAGACTGCTTATATTGAATATATCACGGGCAGCTTGCCAGGCTTTGCCGTGCAGGCAAGATACTCTCGGCAGCTTGCCGGGCTCTCTGAGAGGGGCAGAAAAATCGAACCTGGGTGGGCCATGTCAGTCACGTGCAAGGCAAACACCTTACTGACTGTGCTATTGCTCCAGCCCAATAATTGTGTCGCTGTCACTGTCACTGTCCTCCTGTTGTTCATCGATTTGCTCGAGCAGGCACTACTAACGTCTCACTTGTTGTTACTGTTTTTGGCATATTGAATACATCATTGGTAGCTTGCCAGGCTTTGTCGTGCGGGCAATATACTCTCAGTAGCCTTCTGGGATCTCCGAGAGGGGCAGAGGAATCAAACCAGGGTCAGCCATGTTGGCCGCATGCAAGGCAAATGCCTTACCTGCTGTGCTATTGCTCCAGCCCAAAGGATGTATGTATGTAGCTCTATCTGTCCTCCCATTGTTCATCGATTTGCTAGAGCAGGCCCAGTAACGTCTCCATTGTGAGATTTATTGTTACTGTGTTTGGCATAGCAAATACATCACGGGTAGCTTGCCAGGCTTTGCCATGCGGCGAGATACTCTCAGTAGCTTGCCGAGCTCTCTGAGAGGGATGGAGGAATCAAACTCAGGTCAGCCTGGTTGGCTGTGTGCAAGGCAAACGCTCTACCTGCTATGCTATTTTGTATGATTATATAATAAGTAACGTAATCAATAATATATAATCACTATCCAGATTGTTTAAGTTTGCTTTTCTACTTTTTTTTTTTTTGCTTTTTTGGGTCACACCCAGCAATGCACAGGGGTTACTCCTGGCTCTGCACTCAGGAATTACTCCTGATGGTGCTCAGGGGACTGTATGGGATGCTGGGAATCGAACCTGGGTCAGCTGCGTGAAAGGCAAATGCCCTACCCGCTGTGCTATCTCTCCAGCCCCCCCTACTTTTCTGCTCTTACCTTAGGTGGACAGTTTTTCTTTCTAGCACACAAAAGTTCTTCTAGTTCATGGCAACTATCAAAAATGGAGTCGATGGTCTTAACCTAAAGTCTCTAATCACAATATCCCTCATAAAATAAACTCTTGTAGTTGGCTTTATTTAGCACACCTGGAGTGGATTGTTAAAAAATTTCTTATTTTATGCTCCATAGAGATGGTTGTTTTGGGAGATGTGCAATCAGAACAAGCTACTAACACAGAAAGTCTTACAGAGATGGCACAAGTTCTCTCTTCACTGAATAAGATGAGAAGGATGAAAAGTGGCATGGCCCTCTGGACTCAGCAAGTCTACGCAATTGCAAGGGTTCGCTTCCTAAAGATAAAGCATGAATGTAAAAATCTTCTATCACTGTGAGTATCTGAGGGTCATGCAATTTTCTTTAGTAAACGTGTTCAAGATTAATCTAAGGTATAAAAATAAGAAAAAAATGTCTGCAGGTATAGAAATGAATATACTCTACAGGCTAGTAAATGTCCTAGTAGTTACTTATAGCAGAATATCTGGTTAACTTTATAATATCCCAGGGACAAAATTTAAGTAATGCAAGTTTCATGCAATAGTACTTCAAAATTTTTCTACTACAGAAAGATGACAGAAACAGTGGGATGTTGAACTTACCTCCCCAGGATCCAATTTCTTTTTCCTATTTGGGATTCTAAATGGGGCAATTGCATTGCAATTGTATTGCTTGGTTTTGCATACAAGATGAACTCTTTCCTAGTTGTTATAGCATTCATTATATAATTCTTGCTCTTAGCTAGATATCATGACTACCCTCAATCTCTTAAGCAATAGTAGTTCACTCTCCATGCCCACAGCCCACAGTAATAGCCACTGTCATTGCTCCTGGAAACATATTGCTTCTCACAGACACCCTTATGTCCACAGTACTTTAATTTTCAATAAGTGCCTTTTCTATACTTTGGTGAAGCACCAAAGAGATGGGAGGTTTTCATCCATAATAGAAAATCAATACAGGTTTATTAAATATATAAGAAGTGAGGCTTCCTATTTTTGACAAAAAAATAGCATGAGGTAAGAATCATCTTTAAGATTAAGATGGCAGATAAATGGATAGACATGAAGAGTATCATGCTAAGTGAAATGAGTCAGAAAGAGAGGGACAGACATAGAAGGACTGCACTCATTTGTGTAATATAGAAAAACATAACATGAGGTTGACACCTAAGGACAGTAGATACATGGGCCAGAAATATTGCTCCATAGCTGGAAGCCTGCCTCATGAGCAGAGGGGAGAAGGCTGCTGGAATAGAAAAGGGATCACTAAGTCAGTGATGGTTGGAGGAATCGGTCGGGATGGGAGATGTGTGCTAAAAGTAGATAATGGGCCAAACATGATAACCTCTCAGTATCTATTTTGCAAATCATAATGCCAAAAGTAGAGAGAGAGTATGGGGAATATTGTCTGTCATGGAGGAAGGGGAGGTTGGGAAAAGGGGGTATACCGGGGATATTGGTGGTGGGAAATGTGCACTGGTGGAGGGATGGGTGTTTGATCACTGTGAGATTGTAACCCAAACATGCCTCTCAGAGAGTCTGGCAAGCTACCGAGAGTATCTCATCCACATGGTAGATCCTGGCAAGCTCCCTGTGGCATATTCGATATGTCAAAAACAGTAACAATAACGGGTCTCATTCCCCTGACCCTGAAAGAGCCTCCAATATGGCACCGTTGGGAAGGATAAGTAAGGAGAGGCTGCTAAAATCTCAGCGCTGGGATGAATGGAGACGTTACAGGCGCCTGCTCAAGCAAATCAATGAACAATTGAAATGACAGTGATACAGTGATACAGTGAACCCAAACATGAAAGCTTGTAACTATCTCACAGTAATTCAATAGCACTGTCCTCCTGTTGTTCATCAATTTTCTCCAGCCCGGACCAGTAACATCTCCATTGTGAGACTTGTTACTGTGTTTGGCATATCCAATACGTCACAGATAGCTTGCCTGGCTTTGGGATGCATGCACGTGAGATACTCTCGGTAGCTTGCCGGGATCTCTGAGAGGGGCGGAGGTCGACCAAGTTAGCCGTGTGCAAGGCAAATGCCCTACTGCTGTGCTATCATTCTAGCCCTGGTAATTCACTCCTGGTAATTCGCTCCAACACGGCAATTCAATAAAATTAAAAATATATATATTAAGCTGGCAGTACTATGTTAAAGAGTCTGAAAAGATGATTTTCATCTATCAGGAGCTCAGACAAGGCATAATATTGTATGTAAAATAAGATCTGGAAACAGAGAGAAGTGTTGAGGGAAAACTATAGTAAAAGTGTTCAACATCAAGTCAAGAACAAAGAATATCATTGAAAGTTGAAACCTGAAGTGCAAATTAATCATGCTGTTAGTAAGAACTAAGGATTAATGGATAGATTAGTGGATAGTGTAATAGTGGATAGTAAAGGACTGGCGAGTTAGCTAGTAGAAAGGCAGGGACAAGGATATCCTACTGGAAGCCACAAGAGAAGAGAAATCTGAACAGAGTGAAAGGACACAAATCCCATTAAACTGTTTGGAGTATCTAATCTCAGAGAACAACAAGAAATCTAAGCAATGAGTGAAATCTACTTATGTCATCTCTAAATGATGGGTAAGAAAAGCAAGAAAGGCTCCGAGAGCTGTGTGTTTAGCCTCCACAATTTCTTTGTTGTATTTTGTTGTTGGTTCGGTTTTTGTTTGGGGGCCATATTCAGTAGTCCTCAGGATGACTCTGTGCTCAGGCATATCTGCTGGGGAAGGTCAGAGGACCAAATGGGGTACCAGGGATCAAATTTGTGTTGGCCACATGGAATGCAAGTGCCCTACCTGCCTTACATGCTCTGGCCCCATTTTTCACAATTTCTTTACTTCTGGGCATTGTGATATGCTCAGATAAGGAAATGAGTCTGTTCACATTGAAAATTTTCTTCTGAATAGGCTGCTGATTCTAGGAGTTGCAATTTTCCCTCTTCTTCTGGAATATATTTTGGTGAAAATTAACCAAAACAGTTACACCTGGGAACTTTCTCCTCATTTATATTTCCTGGCATCTGGACAGCAACCACATGACCCTCTCACTCCATTACTGATCATCAATAAAACAGGTAATAAATAATGTGGGGAATACTCCTTTTCCAAGCACATTCACTCTCTAGAGCATTACTAAGAAAGCAAAAATACTAGGCTTTGGCTCCTCTAGTTTTAATTGCTTTAAAAACAATTCCTGGAGTGATCCCTAAGCACAGAGCCAAGATTAAACCTCGGGCACCACTGGGTGATACCCAAAAACACACCAATATTTTTTAAGATACAATTTATGAGGCTTGGGGATGAGGAATACATACCCAATACAGAGCAGGAAATATAAAAGTATTTGACAGGGGTAAAAATGGGTCCTCTGGTGACAGCATACAGAATAAGACTGTATTACAAAACTTTTTTTTAGCAGTTTAGCCTTTTATGATATGCACAGACAAGGTCAGAGAAGAGAAACCAAGATCCCAATGCCAGCATGATCAGAGGAGGCAGAGTTAGGTGATATTCTGTCTTGTTTCAGACCCCAAATTGTAGAAGGATACCTTCTCTGTGGTTTCTTTACTGCTGCACTGTTTACATTTCTGTACTTTCTTTTGGTGGTTTTTGTTGTAACCAATGTTGTACTGAAATGGTACCTAGTGTCCCACAGTTCAAGAAGGTTGTGATCTGTACCTTACCAAGAAAATCTTTATTAGACTCACTTTGTTTAGAAATGAATTCTAAACTCACTAGACTCACTGTATTTAGAAATGAATTCTAGCACAGTTTTGTCAAGTCAGTGTGGCAGAAACAGTGTGGCAGAAAATAAGACAATGTATGAACTGGTGCAATAAACTGTCATGACCAGAGACTCAGGAATCTAATTTGTGTTTCCCAAAGGAGCACTCATTCATTACTCACTTAGTAAGTGCAGTGTTTGTGGTGACTTGATAGAACATAAAATTATAAATAACAAGAATCAATTGTAAATCTTTTGCAAGGTTTTTTTCTCATTCACTGCCTTTTCATTTTCTTTCTGTGTCCTTTATACGATGATGTTTTTATTTTCACTAAAAGGCTGGACTGATAGCACAGCGGTAGGGCGTTTGCCTTGCACGCAGCCAACATGGCCGACCCGAGTTCGATTCCTCAGCCCCTCTCGGAGAGCTCGGCAAGCTACCGAGAGTATCTCGCCCGCACGGCAGAGCCTGGCAAGCTCTCCGTGACGTGTTCGATATGCCAAACACAGTAACAGTTTATTTTCATTAAGTCCAAGAATCTTCCTTGTAATTTTTTGTTTAACTCCAGATCACAAAGATGTACTCCTATATTTTCTCCGTAAACATTTAGCTTTCAGTTCTTACATTTAGGATACATTTTTAGTTGATTTTTGTGTCTAGTGTGAGACATGAAGCAATTTCCTGGGAGGTGCAATTTACCAAAGCTTCTCATTTCCTCCAGCTCCATATTTGTTCAAGTTCAAAACCAAACAGAAATGGAGTTCTCTTCCTCTGTCCATACACCACTCATGAGTGGAAGCACCACCCATCCAATCACCCTCTTCAGTTCCTTGTGCCAAAACACTATAGAGCTGTTCTCAGTGGAAGGAAGAGAATCCCTGATTGATTCTACCCATTCAGCATTGCATCTGTCCTGTTAATGAAGAGTCTTCAGATGCCACAGTTTTTCAGTGTTTTTAAGATTTCCAATATTTTTTCAGGTTTAGTAGTTTTTTATCTAAATTGGTTTTTTCAGTGATTTTTTGCAAGTGATTTCTTAGGGAGAAGATCCATGAAACTTCATGAAACTTCATATCACTATTCAACAAGTTATTATCCTGTATCAATAAATAGCTTGAAATTTTATGAATAATCTAGCAGCAGTGAAAGGAAACGTAGGAAATTTGACATGTAATTAATTAGTTGATTAGAAATTATCTGTGTCATTAAAATTTACTGGTTTTGACCATTTATTATAAGATTCTAGAAAAAAATTAATTCCAATATGGTACTTAAAGATACTTTCACATTTACAGTAATTATAAATTAACAAACATATTACAGATACTCACATGAGAAGTGGTTAGTTTTTTAGTTCACAGTAACAAGCTTGCTATCATTTTGATAAATATCCTGATAATCCATGTTAAGTACTTCTTAGTTGTATCAGTTTTGTAATGTATAATATTTCTAATCTAGGGACAAGCATTAATGACTTTATTCACTCTGTGGAGCAACAAAACATAAATTTGGAAGTGGATATACTTGGAACTAAAAATGGCCTAGATGACCTGTCATATAATGGTGCCATCATAGTATCTGGCAATGAACAGGTACATTGGTCTCTATTCATTCTTCCCCTTTTTATTGATTTACAGTATTGTTAATGAAAGCTTTATGCTACACTGCTCTAATATAGAACTCACCACTAGAGTGCCTATTTCCCTTCACCAATGTCCCAAGTGCCCCTCCCACCCCCAAGATAAGTTCAGTTCTGTAAATCAACTCTTTACTTAATAACTTTTCCCAAAGGGTGGAAAACAAAATAATACCAGGATATTAAGGTCTTCAATATTGGGTGGTTTAAAAATAACAAATATTCCTGTTATTAGTGAATTATAGTCATCATTGTGTAAATAGTTTGTTTATGGGGAGAGAGTACTGTGGATAAGTTGCCTTTTGGGTTAGATCTCGGTCACAGAAAATGATCCAGAAAATGATCACAGCTAGAAATGATTCCCTGAGCTCAAAGCCCTATATACAACCCAGCTCAAGTGTGTGTGGCCAATGTGACACAATCCCCCCCCAATAATAATTCATATATGAATCCCTATCAACATAAACCATGCCCAAAACAGTAACTATTTAAAAAAAGATATATAATGAAACACCCACAGTCATGACCCTATTTTAGTTTTTAAAAATGCACATTTCTTTCGAGGATTTTTATCATTCAGAATCGCTGCTTTGTTCTCAAACAGCAGTAATACTTGATTCAAGTCTTTTGGTTTGTTTTTCATGTGTGTGGCACTATATTTGTATAGTGTTTAATAGAGGAAAATTAAAAGTAATTTCCATCCAAATAAAGACACCCGCCATGTCATCCAAAGAAGGTAGATCCCATCTTCACATAAGCATGATTTAGAAAATAATGTAGCCAAGAGAAATAATTAGGTGGTGATGGTATATAATAACACAGCCTATTGGTGTTAAGGCCTATTGGTCAGTGGTCTTCAAGGCCTATTGGTCAGTGGGAAAGAACAATTCCTATGGTAGAAGGCCTGGGATGTCTTGGAAATGCATCCTCCAGAGATTCTGCAGCAAGAGTATAATTGGTTGAAAATAGGGCTCTGCTACTATGTCCTTTCCTCGGGTTAATTTCTGGACCTGCTGGAAAGTACAAATCTTCCCCCATTTCTAACTGTGCAGGACTGCTCTGATGGAAATTTGTGCTCAGTGACTCACCATGGGCCTGTGTGTGTGTTCACAAAATAAATAAGTGAGCATGGCGTGGTGTCTTTCCCACCACATGAGTTCCGTGGCCATGAGCCGCTTCCCCACCTGGCCCTGTAGCCACCACCAACAGACACATAAAGGAGGGAAAGGGCTGCCAGGCTGGTTGATGATCAGTTGCCTTTTATTCCATTCTCCCCATGTGCCTGTTCCAGTCTCACTCAGCTCCCCATTCCAGCCTCACACTGCCCCTCATTCTGTTTCCTCCAGTCCCTCATGCTAGTCTCATCATGCTTCTTCTCACAGCTGTGGTCTAGGGCACAGCCCCAACCATTCCAGGTAGCAACTATACTCAGGTGAGATAGAACAATCAACATATGAAAGCCCTTCCTTCTGAGGGAAGCTCTTCTAAGAAAAGACAAAGGCCTCCTGCAGTCAGGAGATCCATTCAAGGGCAAAATACCATCTGGGGGTGTGTTTCTCCTTTCCTTAGTTCAACAACCATTTAAACTTTAATCTTAATTCTACTTCTTAATATTAGTCATTTTGTATGGACACAGTAAGAGATACATTGAAGCTTGTAGGGTGTTTCTCCTGGGGACATCTCGCTATAGATTCCAGACTACAGTGCTCAGGCCAGATTAGTCTTTCCTAACCCTAGCAGAGTCCTAATCCAGTTGTTAGTCTTTGCATCATGACAGAATTTGTCCATGACCATGCTCTTAACTTAGGGTTAAGTTGTATGGTGCTTGGCCTGGCCTGTTTCGATGCCAGGGTAGCTCACAGCTTGCCCTGGGACTATCCAGTCCCTCATCGGGACCCTGCTTTTGGAATGCTAGGAACTAAGGGCAACTGAGGCTTAAGTCAAGAAAACAGATGCCCAGAAGTCAATATTATTCAGAGTTAATTAACTCCCAAGTTACAAAAGCATGGCATTAACTGTCTTCCTTTGTCTATACAAAAAGAACATTGCTCTAAAGTAAACTATGCAAAAGGACATAAGGGAAGGAGAAAAGCAATATTTCACTTACAAATACAAATCGAGATTTCTGAGGAATTTGACTTTACAAGTCACAGGTACTGCTTAGAGGAAATAGGTGATTAACCGGTTGGGGAAAAGAGCACAGAGAAGTTAAAGATAAAAACAAAGGAATGGGAGTTTGGGGAGCATTGTGAATGGTGTAACCCAACAGACCTAAGCTCCCTGCTACCAGGGAGAAACTACAAACCAATGTTATCCTATAGGCCTGGCTAAATCTTGGAGCTGCCAGGGATCAAAGCAGAGTTAGGAGCACGCATGACAAGCAACTCACCTCCTGTACTTTTTAATTTCAGTTCTTGTAACATGGCTACAATCTTGTCTAATCTTTGTGGCCTTAAAGCCTTAAAGTCCAAAGCTACTCTCCCACCACTATCACCACCCATCAAAGTACCCATCACCTTCTATCACTGGCCTGTGTAACCTCTAGTCTGTTGATTCAAGTCTTCAGCCAGATGTCCTATGTCCTGAAAATCAGGACATTGTAGACTAAACATTGGGTTTTTATTGTTTTATGACCTCTTAAACAAATTATTTTTTAGTAAAATATTGAACCTTCATCTCTTTAAAGAATAGTATGTTGGGAAAATTTTTCATACTGTTTTTAATATTTTAGAATTACAGCTTCTCATTAGCATGCAATACCAAAAGACTGAACTGCTTCCCAGTGCTTATGGATATTGTCAGTAATGGGCTACTTCAAATGGCAAATTCATCAGACCATATCCAAACAGACAGAAGCACATTTTATGAGGTAAGTTTAAAAATCTAATGGACTCTTCTCCACTAGGAATCTCCCAGATAGCTCTGTTAGGGGTTGAAATATTACTTTTATTGAGTAAACTCATGCACAGTAAATTCACATTTTGTATTCATGCACTCTGTGGTCTTTGAAAATCAATATATGCTTTCCAAATTTTTCTTAAAAACTCAAAGTAAAACAACTATATTTTTTGTATATGACAATGAAAGTAAAATCACGCAGATTGAGAGTACATTAAAAAAGGAAAGGGATAGGAAGGAAATAATAATGAAGTATATTGTATACTTTTAGAAATGCAAGCCACACCCCCAAAAAATTGAGGATGAGAAAAAATTCAGTCTGGCATTGCAGACTGATTTATTCAAATTAATCTAGCTTCTAGCCAAAATTAAGCATCTACCCTAAACTTACCAAACCAGCATTTTCACTGATGAGGTAAAACAAACCATTTGCTTAGTTATATATAAATATTTTATGTTATAATTTAGTTGCCTGGCTTGATGCTTAGGAGCTTTCTCCAATGGTGCTCAAGGGATCATGCAGTGCTGGGGATAAAATCTTGTAATCCTGCATGCAAAGTTGCTCTCCAATCTTTCAAGCCATCTCTCCAACTCCAATCCTACTTAAAAATAAAAAAGAGCAGGGGTCAGATGACTGAAATATATATATGTAGTGCCTCAAATTTTGAAAACAGAATACCTATCAGAGTTTGTAATTAGTCCTTTTGAATTATTTCCAAAACTATTTCTCCTTCTAAGAAAGTTCTTTTAACATAGGATTATGTAATTTTCACACTATATAATCTCTGGTACCTAGGATAGGAACTTGAGCATGATAGTCAATAAATGATTTATTCATTAAAGGCGTAAATGAATGTCAGAGTTGAGCACATTTTTTTAGCACCCAATCAACTCCTGGGTTTTATGATAGTACATATAGTTAATGGTTATACATGCATGTGGTACAGCAGTCACCAGCTACCTATTCACAACATACCTCAGAGTATGCTCGGAAAAGACAAGTTCCCATCAGTAAAAAAATAATTCAAGTATAAAGTTTTAGTATCGATCAACTATTGATTAGTTTTAAAATATATACAATGGTTATTTATCACTGCAACACCTTTTAAATTTTTTCCAGTTTCTGAGGGAGGATAGATGCAGTAATAGAGCAAGTTGCCTTGGACTTCAGCTGTGCAAACATTCTGTTTTTATCAACAGTGAGTCTGAGGCCAATCAGCTCAAGTAATCTTGTATTAGTCTTAGCTGTTTTTCTTGTTGTTGTTGTTGTTATTGTTTTTTTTTGTGTGGGGGTATGTTTTGTTTTGTTTCATTTTGTTTTGCAGTGTCATGATAGAGACCAGAGCCTTGCAAGATTCTTGCATGCAAAGCAAATTCTCTACCTCAGAACCACATACCTGGTCCAGTTGACCTTGTAGCTGTGTGACCAACATTTTAACTTTCAATTTTAACTTCAGCAACTCCTTTTAATATTTTTAGATATGCAAATTATTTTATATGTGTATATTCTATTAAATGCATTCTACCTATTGTATTCTTGACATTATTAGGATGATCAGGTGTTTCCGTATAAAATGGTGGGAAAGACAATGTGCTGGTTACTTTTGGCATCCTGCTGTGCTCCTTATATTGCCATGAGCAGCATTGATGATTACAAGGTAAAAACAAACAATTGAAACTTTTACTACTGTGGGTTGTTAGAAGCTGAGGGTACTATAAATCACAGTATCTTTAGATACATTAAATTAATGATATATTTATTTGAATAGTTCTAATAGAGTTATGGTTCTACATTAAAACGTAGTTCTCTAGATGGAAATATCAGATGATATTTAAGGGCTCTAAAGTTTATAATGAATTTTCTCTCTCAAGCCCTGCTCTCCCTTGAACACAAATCTTTCTCCTTTTTTTTCCACTCTGGAGATGCCTGTGTCTCTCTTAAATACATATTTCTCTTTCTCTTCCCTCTCTTCTTCCTAAATAAATATCAGTCTATAAAAACTATTTGCTTTATTAAAGTAAGTGAATAAAGCTATCATAAATATGAAAGCGAATACACAAAATGACTGAAAAAGAAAAAAGTTGGAACACTTATAGTTGATTCAAGGCTTATTACAAAGTTTAGCAATTAAGAATGTGTTGTGCTAGAGAGAAAGAAAAAAAGTATCTGCCATAGAGGCAGGCTGGGGCAGTGGGGCAGAAGGGAAACTGTGACCATTGGTGGTAGAAAATGCACACTGGGGTTGTAGAACATTGAATGACTGAAACCCAATCATGAACAATTTTGTAACTTTATCTCACGGTGATTCAATAATAATAAAATAATAATAATAAAAAGAATGTGGTGTGTTAGCTAAAGACAATCACAAAAGTGTATTAAATGATATATGCTATCAGATATGAACCTATGCACATAGCATTAATTGATTTTCAATACAATTGGCAGGAAATATCAAATAGGGTAAAATTAATCTCTACAGAAAATATCAAAACTTGAAATTGGCATAAAATTGTATCAACACTAACCTCTTATCATACACAAAATTATTTTGAAATGAATAATTTATCTTAGGGTAGGTAAATAACTTTTAGTTGAGACAAAAGTGTGTACCATATAAAATGATCATTTGAACTGTATTTAAGTTGAAAATTTATTGCTCTGGTAGAGCAGCAATAAGAAGATGAAAATCTATAGGATGGGAGAAAAACATTGTAATACATATATATTTATTAAACTCTTAAACCTCATTAATAAAAGGTAGTGTGCTCTTAAAGATGGGCCGAGGGGCTAGAGAGACAGTACAGAGGATAAGACATTTGCCTTAAATGTGGAAGACCAGGGTTTGATCCCTGAGCATCCCATATGGTCCCCCAAGCACTACCAGAACTAATTCCTGAGTACAGAGCCAGAAGTAACTCCTGATCATGCCAGATGTAGGCTATAAACCAAACATTTAAAATAATAGAAAGCAAAAAACAATAAAACGGGCTGAATATTTGAATAGATTCTTTGCCAACAGTTTACAGGTTAAAAAAAAATACAAAGAAGACATAGCTATGAAGACATAGCATGAGACTCAGGAAAATAACACCAATAAGAAACATTTACACACAAGATAAAAATTAATTATATCAATCATGGTCCTCCCATTGTTCATCGATTTTTGCTCGAGCGGGTCCAGTAACGTCTCCATCATGAGACTTGTTGTTACTGTGTTTTTGGCATATCGAATACGTCACGGGTAGCTTGCCAGGCTCTGCCGTGTGGGCGAGATACTCTCCGTAGCTTGCCGGGCTCTCCAAGAGGGGCAGAGGAATTGAACTCGGGTCGGTCATGTTGGCTGCTTGTAAGGCAAATGCCCTACCACTGTGCTAATGCTCTAGCCCATAAAAATTGGGCAACAGCAAGAATTTATGAGGATGTGGAGATACTGAGCTCTCATGCACTGTCTGCAGAAATGAAAATTTGTATCATTACTTTGCCTGAAGAATATCGACTTCTTAAACTAAAAACATACTGTTAAACCCAACAATTTCTCAAGTTATTTACCCAAAGTAAAAGAAAACATCCTATACCTTCATGTTCTTAAAAGTTTTATACACAAAGTCAATGACCTGAAAAAACCTAAATGTCCAGCAGGCTGTGAACTGATAAACAAATGTTGTCATGGCTATACACTGGCCATACTCCACAATTCGAAAGATAAACAACTGAAAACTACATCAACATGGATAAGTCTCACTTTCATTACACTGAGGGCATGAGATGAACACACAAACAGATACTGAGTTATTCCATGTATACAAAATTCTCAGGCAGAACTAATCTATAGTTGCATAAATCATACCTATAATTTATTCTATCCAACAACAAGGACTACTGATGGGGAAAAAAAACGGTAGGAAATGGAGAAACATGTTGGAGATGCTCTCTGTGTGGATTGTGGTTTGGGAATATATACGTTTGTCCAACCTCATGGAACTCTATACTTAATATGGGTACTCTTTCTTGATGCAAATTTATCAGGCCAGGAATAAAGCTTAAGTGCTATAGCACATGTTTATATGTTTGAGACCTGATTTTTACCCCAGCACCTCCTTGCCCCCTACCCTGAGAATTCTGGATATGGCTCCTACAAAGAAAAAAATTTCAAGAAGGGACCACCAAGTAAAGGGTGCTTGGAGGGCCCGCTCGGGATGGAAGATGCATGCTGAAAATAGACTATACCGAACATGATGGCCACTTAATACCTGCATTGCAAACCACAACACCCTAAAGGAGAGAGAATAAAAGGGAATGCATCTGCCACAGAGGTGGGAAGGGGGACGGGGAGGGATACTGGGAACATTGGTGGTAGAGAATGGGCACTGGTGGAGGGATGGGTACTTGATCATTGTAGGACTGAAACGTAAGCATGAAAATTTGTAAGTCTGTAACTGTACCTCATGGTGATTTATTTTTTTAAAATCATAGGAATACACTTGAAATAAGTTTTAAAAGAAAAGAAGTTAATTTATCAATATCCCTTGGTCCAGATAGCCATTGTAGTCATGACACAGAATTGATAAGTGGAGATTTCATTTGACTAATTGCACGATTCACATTTCTTAAACCTAAAATTGACATACTATGCTGTATCTTTGCTGTTTCCTAATCAGAACAAAATCCGATCCCAGCTGCGGATTTCGGGGCTCTTTCCTTCTGCTTACTGGTTCGGGCAGGCCCTGGTGGATATTCCAATGTATTTCTCCATGTTCCTTTTTATGTACTTAATGGACCTCGGTTTTTACTACGACGATGACACATTTAGATTTGTCAACAGCATTATGCAAGTAAGTGAAAATATTCATAGAACAAATATCACTGGAAAACATAATTTTATGAAGTTATATCTTATCGCTGGAGTGATAGCTCAGCGGGTAAGGCATTTGCCTTGCACACAGCTGACCCAGGTTCAATTCCTCCATCACTCTCAGAGAGCCCGGCAAACTACCGAGAGTAACTCGCCCCCACAGCAGAGCCTGGCAAGCTCCCCCGTGGCATATTCAACATGCCAAAATCAGTAACAACAAGTCTCACAATGGAGACATTACTGGTGCCCACTCAAGCAAATCTATGAACAGATGGAGGACAGTGCTACAGTGCTACTATATCTTATCAATTAAAAATGGTGATGAAACTCTTATAACAGTATTGCTGATTTTAGGCATTCTCCTAGATTGCCTTTGTCTTTAAATGGAACATTCTTGTTTGTTTCAGATCATATGTACCATCGGTTATTCCTCATCCCTTATCTTCCTCACATATGGGATTTCCTTCATTTTTCGCAAGGGAAGAAAAAACAGTGGTTTTTGGTCATTTTGTTTCTTTATTGTGAGTATGGTTCTTGTGAAACTTTATTTTACATAAATTGTATACAATGTTGGACTAAACCTTTAAATATTTGATTATGTGTACAATGTACAATGATGAAATAAACCTTAGAGCATTAAGTACTAGATTAATTAATTTATGTTACAATAAAAATGTTTTATTTCTCTTTATATAATCCTTCCTAAATATATATCTTTTTTATTTCCACTTCTATCTTTTTTAAGTAGTCAAAGAGTTCCAAGAAACATAATTTTTTTTTTTTTGGTGATGCACAGAGGATACTCCTGGTTCTGCACTCAGGAATTACTCCTGGTGGTGCTCAGGGGACCATATGGGATGCTGGAGATTGAAACTGGGTTGACCGCATGCAAGGCAAATGCCTACCCACTGTGCTATCGCTCCAGCCCCAGAAACATAATTCTTTAATAAAGGAAACCTGAAGCTCTCCTTTTCTTCTTTCCTTCCTTGTATTGAACTCAGAACTGTACATATGCAGTACATCTGTACATAATGCTCTACCTCTGAGCCACATTCTTCAGATACTGGATACTCCCATAAGAAATAAGCTCAAAGACCTTCTTGAAATTAGAAACAATTACAAATACTTTTACTACTTAAAACTTTCTTGTTGTTTTGGGGCCATAACCTGGAGGTGTCCAGGGCTTACTCCCACACTGGACTCAAAAAACACTCCTAATGGGCTCCAAGGACCATATGGAGTGTCAGGAACCACCCCCAGGTCAGCTGTGTGCAAAGCAAGTGCCATGCCTGCTGTACTATCTCTCCAACTCATAAAACTTTAAAATATTTTTAAACTCTACTGACTTCTAATTTTGTAAAGTAGCATTGTTCAAAATTAGTAAAGATTTGTAAGTATCTATTCTAATTTCCTATTATTTCAGGAGGCCTACAAGTAACTCAACAAACATTTGGTGACCCCAACAAAGAATGTGTCACAAAATAAACCTGAGAAGGGAGGGAAAATAGGTAATTTTTCATTCCTATAGAGCTGTTGGAGGTCACACAGATCAATAGACAGTCACTTTCTCTTGTAGAAGGGCTTAATTGCCCCTGTGAAAATACAGCAATCTTCACACTCTTTCCGCCAAAAAAATTTTTCTGTAATATTTTCAGTGGTTTTTCATAGAAAACAATACAAAATATGTTATTTCGGTCCTGCTTTGGGGCAGGGATTGGGGTTTGGGATCCGAAATATGGTGGTGGGAAGGTTAATGGTGGTGGGATTGGTGTTTGAATATCAAATGTAATCAAATATTGTGAACTACTTTTTGAAATAAAAAATAGACAGTAACTTTTTAGAACAAAATAATAGGAGCTGGAGAGATAACACAGCAGGCAGCGCACTGACCTTGCACATGTCCAACCTGGGTTCGATTCCCAGCATCCCACATGGCCCCTTGAGCTCCAGAAGGAGTGACTCCTCAGTGCAGAGCCAAGAGTGAGAATCTATAAGCCAAGAGCCTATGCACTGCTGGGTATGCCTCAAAAACAACAATTAAATCTTAAAATAGAATCGTAAGAATAAAATGATCTACTGATCCTGAAATGTCTAGTACCAAGTCTGCTACTCATTTTACTACAACTGAGTAGTAAAATCAGTTGTAAAAACTAGAGAAGGGAAAGATTAAGTTGTGAAAATGAAGGCAGACAATTCATTTGGTAAAAGGAGTAGATTCGCAACAGCTGAAGAAAAATGGATGCACCTAGGAAAGAATGGATTAAAGAAAGAGACAAGAGTTTCAGATTCATTCTTGGAAGTGATGATAATGTAGTATGAATTGGGAAAGAAAACTTCATTCTGGTTCCATATAGGAAGAAAGAAATTGTTGGGTGCCTGCTGGCTTTGAAAGTGAGTTCAACAACTTCATCTGTGGCTGTGGGAAAACATGGATGTTTTTAATAAAGAAAAGAAATAAGAGCAGAGATATATTTTGAAGAAGAGCCATCAAAATGGTTTGTAGGCGTAACCCACTCTAGGATAACTTTATCCCAATTTAGATTCTATGATTCCTTCCATTTACTTTATAGGGTACCCTGGGTGGCTCACTCTCTGCATATTCCTTAAATAAACTAATTTACTTTTTAAAAGATGATTTGCAGGGGCTGGAGCAATAGCAAAGTGGGTGGGCATTTGCCTTGCATGCAGCTGACCCAGGTTCAATTCCCAGCATCCCATATGGTCCCCTGAGCACCGCCAGGAGTGATTCCTGAGTACAAAGCCAGGAGTAACTCCTGAGCATTGCCGGGCGTGACACAGAAAGCAAAATAAATAAATAAATAAATAAATAAATTTAAAAATTAAAATGATTCGTAGTAAGAGCAATTAAAAGAGCAAGTAGTTTGGGGGAGTCATTGCAATCTTTTAAACAAAATAGCCTAAAAGCTTCTGCTACATCTAAAACTTTAATAATAATAATCTTTACTCAATCACTCCAGTTTGCTCACTTTCACTGCTAGAAGAGTAACAGAAGTCTTCTTTCACTGTTTTATTATTTATATTACATCTCAATTTAACTTTTTCCTTGTTATTATTGCTAATATGCTGTAATAGGTCCTTGAATAACATGATCTTCTTGAAAGGCTTTTTCCCCCTATAACATTGTTAAGAACAAAATCATACCTGAAGATGTTCAATAAGACCATGATATTTGAATAAAACCAAATAACTGTTGTTATTTCTTTTTAAATCAGTTTCCACGAGCCTCATAATGATGCTGGTTGAATATTTATTTTATTCTAATTTTTTCCTTAAAAACCAACATATACCAGTTTTCCTGAATCTGGTAGAATCAAAATTTTCTACATATCACAGGCCAGATTTATCCAGTGATGTATCCTTCATGATGCTCCACGCTGAAGGAATTTAGCTAAGTCACTAAGAAAAAGTGTCCATGATGATCATGTTATTTTAGGCTAGTTTTCGAGGTGGTAGTTAAAATCGGGATTAGCTCCTATATGTGCCTTTTTCAGTGTATTGCTATTCAGAGTGGTGAGCACACATATTTGTATTTTCTTTAGGTCACCCTCTTCTCTGCGGCTATAATTGTAGCGCAAAACAATGAAAATGCCCTAGTGTACAGCCTCACGTTTTTCATACCACCGGTCACCTTAATTGGCTACCTATTCCTGTCCTATTATGTAAGTAATACCACTGCCTGTCCCATGCCCTGGAACTTATGGTCATTTGTGAAAGTCTTGTGTAGGGCTTCAGGTCTCCTTATTAATAATCAATGTCTGAATGACATCCGGCAATTGGAACCTTGTGAATTCCAGTTGAATTTCTCCAAATAGGACAATGTCCTCCAACAAAATTGTAACAGAAAACTTGTCTGACCCATGTAAATGTGTGGGGAGAAAAGGTCATGGCTCTGGGAAACAGTCACCTGTGATATCTTTGTAGAATCTACTCTGTCTTGGCACACTCAAACTTAGAAGGATTCAAGTAAAATATCCCTCATCCTTGGCATTTCAGCATTCTAGAAAGCATACTATAAATAAAATACTGTCTGTCTTCTACCTATGCTTCTACAAAAGTAAGACAGACTCAAGTTGTGTGTAAAGATACATTCATGGGAAAGAAAAAGAGAAGGGGCTGTAGGGGAGGAATAATGGGTACGGGAAGGTGTGAGACTGTGAGATTACCCTCGGTTTCCCCTTCATGTGGTAAGCTTACAAAGAGCCTCAGGCTGTTCTCACTAGGAGGTATTCACTCAATTCCGTTGCTTTAAATAAAAGTATAGGGGTTCATAGACATTGGGAGGGAGGCAGTCACTTTCTGCACATTTTGGCACAATACCTGATATGGTGAAATAAAGATACAGGTTAGCAGATCTGTTCAGTACATCATTTCACATGTATATGAATATAACTCAGAATAAAGATGCTTCCTATTTAACCATTGCTTTTCTTTTACAGCATTTCATCCCTGATATCTTTGATGTAAGCAGAGCAGAGCCCTCTCCAATTTTCCTATTTGTAAGAACACACTCTTCCTACAAAACTTATTCCATCTTTTACTATACTCAACCTGTACCTATACATATGTTATAATTGTTACTAAGATAGAAAATAATGATGAACTATTTATAAGCATAACAGGATATCTGTATACCATGGATATGTCAAGTTTAATAAAATTGTAGAATATGGAGTATATATTTTTATAAAGATAATCTGACCAGCTAATATGCTTCCCAAATTTATAGACACTACACAATTATTAAAGTAAGTCTCATAAGGTAATGATTTCACAGAACCACATTGTTTCTAATGCTTTTGCAAGAAAAATTTAAAGTGAATTTGATAGCTTCAGAATCTAACAAATAGATAATTGGAAATTTTTTTTTACTTTATCAAAGTAGTTTTGTAGCAGTCCAGTTGTTTTTCATTTACTTTGACATTTTTATTTTGTTTTTATTTGTCCTTATTTTATTTGTTTTTATTTTGTGTTGGGTATCAAATTCAAAGCCTCATGCATACAAAGCATGCATTATGTCAATGAGTTACATTTTGGGGCCTGCTTCTGTTGTTTAAAAAAAAAAGTTGTTTTGAACTCAGTCATAGAACACTTGTCTTGTATGTGTGAGGTCCTATTTCCCATGAGAATCCATGAGATGGTCCCCCAAGAACCACTGGGGGCAACTTTATAACACCATTGGGTCTAGCCCTAAAGCAAGAAATAAAACATGTTTCTAACTGTACATCTCTCTTTATTCCTAGTCTTTCTTTCATTGTATCATCTTTGTGTTCATTCTTCAATGTCTGGAATGGAAATTTGGAAAGAAGCCAATGAGAAAGGATCCTTTATTTAGGTTTGAAAATTTAATTGTATTCTTGTATTTCAATGATCCATCACGATCACGACCATCCTGTTGTTTGTCGATTGCCTCAAGCAGGCCCCAGTAACGTCTCCTTCTTCCTAGCCCTGAGATTTTTTTAAAAAGTGCCACATTAAAGGCTCTTCCAATGATCCATATTTTAAAATATTTTGGCGCATAAGATAATTCATTAATAAAAATTGATTATGCTGATATAGACTGGGATAGGAACCGAATTATATGTGCTTAAGTCAGAGATCAACACGATCTAATGAAGAAAACGAACTTGAACCATTGACTCTTCTATATCCTATTGTGAAGTTGAGCATCAGAAAAAGTTACATGGTGGGGAAGAGAGACAGGTGGGGATTCATATCAGACAGTAATTAAAAAGATTATGGGTTGAAGGAAAAAATACTACAATCAAGCATCTGATAGATTTTCTGAGACTATCCTAACTTCAAATATCCTATCCCATTTTCCCTATGAAAATATAATAATAATTCAAATATAGTTAATGTGACCCATGATACTGAAAAAAATGTTTCTAAAGATAAATAGAGTGAAATATTTTTAAGAAGCAATGGTCACTAAATACAATGGGAAGAAGCAAGCAGAGGGTAACATGGGATGCTTGATTATTTACCCAACTACTCAAGAAGATTTAGAAAATGCAATAGTCTTGATACGAGTATGAAGGCTCAAAATTAATCATTAATGGTTGGTTTGACTCTAGAATTTCTCCAAGAAGCAGTGATTGGTGTCCAAATCCAGAAGAGCCGGAGGGAGAGGATGAAGATGTGCAGAGAGAAAGAGTGAGAACAGTAAATGCCTTGAATTCCACAGACCTAGAGGAGGTAAAACATACGATCACTTATATAACAAAATATCAATATGTGCACATTGAAGTGGATGGTTTGCAAGTCTAATTGATAAATGACTTTGTGATTCTTTAATTCATACAATTGAGGATCACAGCACTAATGGTTAACTTTTTTATATTGACACAGCCTGAGAAATTAAACAACCTGTGCACACAGTATCTTTCCTAGAAATTGAATTTGCAAAAGACAAGAAAGAGCTAGTGAATTTTAGAAACCCATTGCTTCGTGGAGAAAGTGTCCTGTACAAAGTTGTGGATAGACTCTTGTCCACACAGGCTCTTTTGTTCTTTTGAGGGCGTTTCAGTGCTTCTTCAAGATGTATTGCTTCTGCTCTGGGATTCTGGCAAGCAGAAATGACTCATTATCAATTTGAGTAGTTGGTAATCACGTGCTCCTAAGAAACTCTTTGTAGGAGAGGAAATGGCAGTACTACAACTCCAAAAGTGAGTTCTAGAATGGGAGTCTGGCCGGAAATCCGTAGCTAAGAAAAAGTCTCTCTTGATGCTGGCATGGGCAGTAAGGTAAACCCAGAGAGGAAGACAGAGTTTTTTTTTTTAAAAAAAAAAAAAGGAAAACATTAAGATCTGATTTACCTGTCATTTATAGAAACCAGTCATTATCGCCAGCTGTCTACGAAAGGAGTATGCCAGAAAGAGAAAGCATTGTTTTTCCAAGAGCAAAAAGAAACTGGCTGCAAGAAATGTCTCTTTCTGTGTGAGAAAAGGTGGGCTGTTGTTTGTTCACTCTTTGACTAGTGTCATTCTTAACAAGTTATCAACACTTCCTTGCTACACAGACCCATCAGCAGGAAGACCCTTAGGGGCTGGATTTCTAAGTGGAAATAGTTTGCTACATGAACAAGGGGTTTAGTCACATCAGCTGGAAAACCAGAAGCACTGTATTAAAATAAACAATGCAACCAAGCAACAAGGAAACTGCTATTGAAGGGACACAGTTCATTTCCTAACACAGTTCATTTCCTCATCACTGTTTCCAAGAAAACTGAGGACAGATCAACACAGGCCAAAAGCCTAACCAGCTGAGAGTAGGTGACCTCATTTTGTGTCACTATCACTTTGAACCTACAGAGAGTAGACAATGTGAATTCTAAAGTCAGGTAACTTTGCGAAACCCATCCCAGACTTTCTCCCCCCTATTAGTAAGAAAGGGTTATAATAACTTCCTGGGAAGGTGGTAAGTAAAGTAAAGTAAAGTAAGTAAAGGCCCTCCCGTTGATCGTCGATTTGCTCGAGCGGGCCCAGTAACGTCTCCATTGGAGACTTTGTTGTTACTGTGTCTGGCATATCGAATACTCTCGGTAGCTTGCCGGGCTCTCCGAGAGGGGAGGAGGAATCGAACTCGCGTCGGCCATGTTGGCCGCGTGTAAGGCGAACGCCCTACCCGCTGTGCTATCGCTCCAGCCCGGGAAGGTGGCAAGACAATTAAATGAGATACAAAATATAAATCATGTAGTCCTGAGCTTTACACAGAGCAAAATTTGTGGGTTTTATTTTTTTTCTTAGTTTTACTATTAAAACTAATGAATTGGTAAATGTAACTGAATTTTTTTTAGGTGAGGTTTTGGGATTGTTAGGACACAATGGAGCTGGTAAAAGTACATCCATTAGCGTGATAACTGGAGATACAAACCCAACTGCTGGACAGGTAAGTAAATTACTGGGAAATTGTGTTATTTAGGCGTGCTCAAATAAATTTGTAAGATGTGAAAATTTGTAAGCAACAAATACTGTTCAATCATCAAATGATTGCAATGTTAATGTGGCCGAATAACACAGTGAAAAATCATGCCATGAATACATATATGCTAATTAATTGTTGAAGATGCCTTCAATGGATCTAGAATGAGTGTCCAGTATGAAATCAGAAATTAAAATAAGATGTTGTACCAGCTCTATTTCATGAGTACTATGAAAACACATGAATTTGAAATGAGTATTATCTTTCCTGTATTTACATGCTGTGACTTAAAAATAATTTAATAAATTATTTATTATTTAGTCATATTCTTTCTCCTTCACAACATACTTTCTGACTGGGATATAGTTTTTTAACAATGAAACTCTTTATGATGAGCTTTTCACAGATTGACTTGACATTAAGAAAAAGAGTTATGAAAGCAATTTAAAGCAAATAAGCTGAATAAAGTGGTCTGGCAAAGAGAAGAGAAAAAGAACTCATATTCATCCAAGAGACAACACGGGGTGAAATCATTTCCTCCAACATTCTGTGTCAGAAGAGAAAATACTTTAAGAACTGCTTTAGAAAGTATGTCCCAGGGAAACGGAGAATGAAATAAAATCTGTGGAAATATAATCATGGGAAAGGGATGCTGTTCAAGCTGCTGGAAACCACCAGCTAGGAACAAGCTTTACAAATATCTCAGGACAGAAAGAAGGAGACAGCAGACACACAGTCCCCAGAACTCGGCACCAGATTGGCTCCAGTTGCCCCAAGTAGACTCTTTAGTTGGACCCCCTCGAATTCAACTGCTAGCTAGACCCTACATTTATGTTCTCTTTCTCATGAAGCACAGTAGAGAGAAAAGTAACCATTTATTCACATAATGGACTAATTTTTTTTTCTTTTCGGGTCACACCCAGCGATGCTCAGAGGTTACTTCTGGCTCTGTAGCACTGTGGCACTGTCCTCCCATTGTTCATCGATTTGTTCAAGCGGGCACCAGTAATATCTCCATTATGAGACTTGTTCTTACTATTTTTGACATATTGAATACACCCCGGGGAGCTTGCCAGGCTCTGCTGAGAGGGCAAGTTACTCTTGGTAGTTTGCCAGCCAGGCTCTCCAACAGGAATGAAGGAATCGAACCCGGGTCGGCCGCATGCAAGGCAAATGCCCTACCCACTGTGCTATCACTCCTGGATCTGTAATCAGGAATTACTCCTGGCAGTTCTTGGGGGAGCATATGGGATACCGGGAATTGAACTCAGGTCGGCTACAAGCAAGGCAAATGCCCTACCTGCTGTACTATCGCTCCGGCCCAGACTAAAATATTTTTAAAATAAGATGGGTCTGAATTGTCAACTGACTCTGAGTGTTCTGAAATCATCTCTAATCAGGTCAGCCACTGACCTCTTTGGACAATGTCCTTCTCCCAGTTCTACTGCCCACAGCCTCTCCTGCTCCAGGATGGAAGGTGCCACCTCTGCTCATCCTGTAGGGATAGGAGGAGAAAATTCTATGTTCCTCTGCCACCTCTGTATCCTGTTCCCTTGCTCATTCTGCTCCAGGCCTTGGGTCTAAGCCTCTGTCTCAGGGTCTCAGATACCTCAGGGGTCATCCCTTCACAGACTTTTTCAAACTCTTTGTTCAGTTTCTTATTCCTTTCTCTGTCCATTTTTGTTGTTGTCCTGGCAGTGCTCAGGGGACCATATGGGATTCTGGGAATCGAACCCGGGTCAGCCACATGCTAGGCAAACGCCCTACCCACTGTGCTATCGCTCCAGCCCCACTTTCTCTGTCCTTTGCCATGGAAGACCCCTTGTCCCTGGATCTTCTGAAACAAACCCCCCCTGCAGACAGGCTTTCTTTAATCCCCCAGAGTGACTTCTGCCGGTACTCTGCAACACGGTCTTCTGCATATGATTACGGTAGTACCTCCAACCATATTTACCCATGTGTCTACTTCTATGAGTGTCTCATTTACTCAGAAGAATAAAAACTCCATGTTTCAGACTGTCCTGCATTGCCAACACTGGTGATTCTCAAGACTTAAGACATTGGTGCATGAGTTTAAAGAAGGAAAAATCAAATAATAAGACAGCACATGACTGTGGCTGCAATGGTCCTGATGGCAAAGCACCACATTTGTAAGACAATTGAATTCTCAGCTTCAATGGCAAGACACAATTGAATGTTCATCTTTGATGGGGTTTGCTCAAAGACTTGTTTTCACATATTTACAGTCCAGCATTGTCTCTCCAATGCCAAAAATGTGCAAATGCCCATATTTAGTCATGTCCTCATTTTTCTAAGGCTTCTAGGTTTATAGCGAGAAAAAGATATCCATTGAAAATCGACATGGAAGCAAGAGGCAGGCTTTGAGAGAGAACTTTTCTCCACAGGTGATTTTGAAAGGGGGCAGTGGAGAGGCCCCCCTGGAGTTCCTGGGGTACTGTCCTCAGGAGAACGTGCTGTGGCCCAACCTGACGGTGAAGGAGCACCTGGAGGTGTTTGCTGCAGTGAAGGGGCTGAGCAAAAAAGATGCAGCCATCTCCATCCCACAGTAAGGGGAGCACCCATGTCTCCACAGTCTCCACTGGGAAGAAGTGAACACAAGGAACTCCCCCCAGGGGCTGGAGTGATATCACAGCGGGTAGGGCATTTGCCTTGCATGTGGTTGACCCAGATTCGACTCCCAGCCTCCATATGGTCCCCTGAGCACTGCCAGGAGTAATTCCTGAGTGCATGAGCCAGGAGTAACCTCTGTGCATCGCTGGGTGTGGTCCAAAAAGCAAAAAAAAAAAAAAAAAGATCTCCACCCCACCTGGGGAAAGGAAGTTTAGGGTCTACTTAGGTAGTGTAGACCCTGGGAGAAGATTGATCCCATGGGTTCCCAGGAGGGAACTGCCCTCTCTCTAAGATAAGATGTTCATTGGTGACTCTCAGGAGCAAAAACTTATTACAACATGAGTAGACCCTCACAGAAGAGGCTCCTAAGCAGTTTCCACTGGATATTTTCCCATTTTCATCAGTGCATGTCCCATGATTCCTGAACCCTGTCCCCCTACTCACTACCTCATTGTTCTTCAGGTTGGTGGATGCATTCAAGCTGCAGGATCAGTTGAAGCTTCCTGTGAAGAACCTGTCAGAGGGAATCAAGAGAAAGGTAGGGGTGGGGCTCAGGGCTCCTCTGTGCAGTCCCCAAACCTGTTCTTGATGCTTATCCTCTCCTTTCAGCTGTGTTTCGTGCTGAGCATCCTGGGGAGCCCATCTGTCATGCTTCTGGATGAGCCATCCACAGGCATGGACCCCGAGGGGCAGCTGCAAATATGGTGAGGGGCAATGCCCAGACAGGGCCAATTGGCACATCTCCTGAGAACTTGTGAATTGGTTGACTCCTATAAGAATTGTTCCACAGTGGCTGGAGTGATAGCACAGCGGGGTAGGGTATTTGCCTTGCACGTGGTCAATCTGGGTTCAATTCCCAGCATCCCATATGGTCCCCCAGCACCGCCAGGAGTCATTTCTGAGTGCAGAGCCAGGAGTAACCCTTGTTATTTAATGTGGAAAAAGGAAAGGAACATGGCCAGGAGCATTATTAAAATTGACACTTTACACACACACACACACACACACACACACACACACACACACACACTTGAAGTGAATCAGTTTCTTTGACATTCCCTGTTTGTAGTTGGAAAAAAATTCAACAAGAAGCGTAAGGGAGCATAGCAGACCCTGACCACAATTCCAAAGGGGCCAGTCCTCTGTTGCAGAATGGAAATTCTCCTGAAGTTGCCAGGGTGTGATCAGAGAGAGTTCTGGATATTGTCCCCTATGCAGATGTGTAATTTATATTCTACCTAAACGATCCGAAGCACTTGGTTGTTGAATTCTGCATCCCTGGTTCCCTTCTTTATGGTTTGTAAACACCTCACTGCTCAGCTCTTCTCTGTCAATACAGACCCTAACCCTGACCCTAACCCCAGCCCCAGCCTCAGCCACAACCCTGACCTAAAACCAGATCACAGCTCTGGACTTCCCTGGGCTGCCCCTCCTCTGCCCACCTGCTGGCAGTGACATTCTCACTCTTCTGCTCTCTTTACTAAGTATTCCTACTCAACTGGTTAAAAAGAAATCTCTTCCAGGGGCTAATAGCACAGCGGGTAGGGCTTTTGCCATGCATACGGCCAGCCAGAGTTCTATTCCCAGCATCCCATATGGTCCCCCAGCACTTTCAGGAGTAATTCCTGAGTGCAGAGCCAGGAGTAATCCCTGAGCATTGCTGGGTGTGACCCAAAAAGCAAAAAGATGAAATAAAATAAGAAAGAAGTCTCTTCTCTGACATGTCTAAAAAAACTACAGGGCTTCTGCTCAATCCCAATCCCAATCCCAATCCCAATCCTGAAGCTTTCCCTTGACGATTTAGGGAGGCCATCCGTGCGACCATCAGGAACACGGAGAGGAGCGCCCTCCTGACCACCCACTACATGGCTGAGGCCGAGGCTGTGTGTGACCGTGTGGCAATCATGGTTTCAGGAAGGATAAGGTGGGTGCCTCACTCTGCCCATGATGCCCCCACCAATGCCCAGCTGAAAGAGCTGTCTGTGGACAGAGCCGTGTCCCTGCCAGCAGGTAGAACCAGCGCCCCTCCAGACACCAGTGAGGTTCAAAAGAAATACAGTCTCAAACAGCATCTTTATTCGGTCTTTTTCTCCTTCCCAATCTGACCTCATCTCCCTCCTGCTTCTAGATGTATCGGTTCTATCCAACACCTGAAAAGCAAATTTGGTAAGGACTACCTGCTAGAGATGAAGGTAAGGACCCCGGAACAAGGAGAGACACTCCATGAAGAAATTCTGAGGCTTTTCCCCCAAGCTGCTCGGCAGGAAAGGTAAAAATAGTTGCAGGTTTTGATCAGATACACCTAGTAGGCTTTTTTCTGTCTGCTTTATTGATGTATGTGCACCAGCGTCCATATGTACCCCATAAGGAAACCAGTAAGAAAGGAACTGGAAATGAGTTAAGGAAGTGGAGGTTGATATAAAAGGGGTGGTAGCATGTGTTGAGGTCCTTCTGTGTGCTGAGGACTAGTTTGGTCTTGGGTTACTTTATTCTGAGGCTTTACTGAGACTTTCCAAAATAAGGAGACACTAATTCAATGGGAAAAAAATTAAATGATTTCTGAAAACATTGTGAGCCCTGGTCCTTATAAGGGTCTTAAGCTGTGACATTATTTCTTAAGAATAGGAAATTGATGATATAAGTGGTCTTCAATCACCAGTCTACAGGTGTGAAAAAGGTTGCAAACTTCTGGTCTACCACCTTGGTTAGAACTTGGCCACAATGTGGACTGGTATGCAAGAAAGGTTCCAGTTGGCATAAAATGAATGAAGAGTGCTGGGTTAGATCAAATAGCAGAGCAAAATGGAACTAAGAAGCAAGCCAATCATTTTATTTCAGATTTACTAATATTTCTAATTTTCTATAAAGCCTGGTCATAACACAACTCTAGTGAAAATTATCATTAAAAATTAATAGTTACTTTAGGGTCATTTTAAGCAAAATTTATAGCAAAATACAGATGATTTTGGAGTTAGGGGAGAAAACAGAGCCTGAAAGACCAGAAAGCGGATTTCTTTGGTGGAGAACAAACATCACAGTAATGCTATAACTTGGTCTAAGTATGCAGCCCCTGAATGAATGGAAACATTTTATGGACACAGGAAGCGAGCAAATAAGAATAATAAGTGTCCCATGGGTCTGGAGCAATAGCACAGCAGGTAGGGCATTTACCTTGCATACAGCCGACCCGGGTTCAATTTCCAGCATCCCATATGGTCCCCTAACCACTGCCAGGGGTAATTCCTGAGTGCAGAGCCAGGAGTGACCCCTGTGCATCGCCAGGTGTGACCCAAAAGGCAAAAAAAAAAAATGAAAAAAAAAGAATAATAAGTGTCCCTTACTATATAAAATAATCTCATGAAATAAAATCTAAATCTTTTGGTTATTTTATTTTATTTTTGGTTGTGGGACCAACTTGACAGTGCTCAGAAACTACTCAAAGCTCTGGGCTCGAGCGCTGCTCCCTGCAGTGCTCAGGAGACCAGGTGGTATGGAGAACAAACCTGAATGTCCCACCTACTTGCAAAACACGTACCTCCATCCTTTGCACTATCTTTTCAGCCCTTCCTGATGTTCAGTGGTGAGAAGGCAAAGATTTATTTGAAACAAATTATTTTCTGAAAATGACTGTTGCTGATCATTTTGGGGATACGGTTCCTGGAATTTCCACGTCTCCTAATTGTATCCTCAAAGGCATTAGGAAAGCAGTTTCTATAGGATAGGAGAGAGCAGTGAAGTAGGAAAACTCTGAGACCCATCCTGGAAACTTTAAGTAACTCTCTCGTGTCAATGGATGGTCAGAAGATAAAGTCAAGAAACAACTCAGAAAAATAAGGCAGAAGATGACTTGGCAAATCTTGATGTTTCATGTACTTGTTCCTTGTCTGTCCAAGGATCCCAGGACACTAAACTAAAACCTACTCTCCCCTTCCCCAAGTTTTTCTCTGAACTTCCTCTTTTTCAGAAATGCTCTTTTTTAATTGAATCTCTGTGAGATACACAGTTACAAAGTTGTTAATGATTGGGTTTCAGTCATACAATGTTCCATCATCCATCCATTCACCAGTGTACATTTCCCACCACCAATGCACCAATGTCCCCAGTTTCCCTCCTGCCACCCCCCCCCCCCAGCCTGTCTCTATGGCAGGCACTTTTTCTCTCTCTGTCTCTCTGTCTCTGTCTCTGTCTCTGTCTCTGTCTCTCTCTCTCTCTCTCTCTCTCTCTCTGTCTCTCTCTCTCTCCTCTGAGGGCATCTTGGCTTGCAATGCATGTACTGAGAGGTCATCGCATTTGTCCCTTTACCCACTTTCAGCACTCCTCGTCCAGAGTGATCATTTCCAACTATCTTCATCATAGTGGTCCCTTCTCTATCCTAGTTGCCCTACCCCAACCATTACTTGTGGACCAGTCCTCCTGGCCCTTGTCTCTACTGTCTTTGGGTATTAGTCTCATGCTAAGCTTTTTTTTATATCCGACAAATGAGTCCAATCATTCTATGCCTGTCCCTCTCCCTCTGACTCACTTCACTCAGCATGATACTCTCCATGTTCGTCCTTTTATATGTGAATTTCATGACTTCATTTCTCCTGGTGGCTGTAATCAATTGTGTAGATGTACCAAAATTTCTCAATCAAGTTATCTGAGGAACATTCTATTTAGCCTAAATTAAACTCATTCTTTCTGACAAAACCTACAGAGGTAGCTCTAGTCAATTTACCTATGCCACAGGGTTAAGCATTTCATCTTTGCTTCTTGTCGTTTGCCCCACTCACTCCTTGGAAATCATATCTACCACCAAGGATCTGAACAGAGAAATTATTCAAAGAAACTAACTCCAGCTGTTAACCCTTGTTCTCCCCTTCCGCCCTCCCAGATATTCATCTCTGATGGTCTATAAGTTGCCCGTGGAAGATGTAAAGCCTTTGGCCCAAGCTTTCCTCAAATTAGAGACAGGTAAGAGCTACTAAGTTATGTTGACCCACAACAATAAGATGTTGCCCCACAAAAACAAACAAAAACTACCATCGCAAATTCCTCAAATAATTTTGCAACATAAAAAAAATTGAATGTGACATCATGTGTTAAACTCAAAAGTTTAAATCTCAAACTGAATTTCAGGATCTCCAAATCTAGAAGATGGAGAAGATATAGAAGGTGATAGGGAGTAATTTTCATATTTGCTCCCAGGATTTTCTATATTTACCTCAGTGCAATCTAAGTCAAAATTCATTAATATACATCTATTTAAGAGGATATTTTCTTCCCTGGATCATTAATGCACACATATTTTAAAGTGACTTTTATATGAACTTGAGCATTATTTTCTTTTGAAGGATTATACAGTTTTAAAAAACTGACTTTATGCCTGGTGAAGCAGTAAATTTTCCCGTGTCTGCAGCATTTTAAAAGTGATCACCACCCGGGCATTCCTGGCTTGGACACATAGGAGTTCCCTCCCCCTATTCATCATTTTCACTGCTCAGGGAAAACTTTTGCTTGCTTATCACCTGCCCGAAAGAATAGACTTGGGACTGGAGTGATAGCACAGCGGGTAGGGCATTTGCCTTACACGCAGCCAACCCGGGTTTGATTTCCAGCATCCCATACAGTTCCCTGAGCACCATCAGAAGTAATTCCTGAGTGCAGAGCCAGGAGTAATTCCTGTGCATAGCCGGGTATAACCCAAATAGAGAAAAAAAAAAAAGAATCATGTCTCCTTATTCTAGAAGACTCTTCTTCTCTTGTTTATTCTTTGAGTGGAGCATTCCTGCTTTTATTTTAGCACCATGAGTGACCCATGAGTGTCACTGTGGTCAGTCTGGCTTGGTGGTACACACTTGCTTGGTGTCATATATCCAGACTACGGGGCTGTATTATCAGGGTTCTAACTCCTCTTCTCAATCTCCTTAGTCAACAAGAAGGATTTTAAACCTAATTAGGACAAGCCACAATGATTTCTTTGGCCCCTGAGACTAGCTGCTCCTCAAGCATCTCTATTATCTGCTTTCCAAAATGTATCTTTCTCCTACCACTTCCTGGGCTAAAAGTGCAAAACACCTTTCGGGTGCAGGGAAGGCTGCTTTCTCAGCGGTTCTCGCCTTGAAACAAGCCTCTGCAGAGAAACTTGTCACAACCGTTCCTTACCACTACCACCACAAGCCTAAGGAAAGCGTTTGAACTGATCACTCCCGGGGAACAGTGATTGCAAATGAGCTAAACCATTTTGAGGGTTTTTTTTTAAGTCACCTCTGTAAACTTCCTGAGTCCCTAATGTGCATCCTTCCCTATGCAGTGAAGCAGAGCTTCGACTTGGAGGAGTACAGCCTCTCACAGTCCACCCTGGAGCAGGTGAGTTCCTTGGAGTGACTGACCAACCCCATGAAATGCAAACTCCTACTGTGTTGCGCACACTTGGAGCTGCAGAGGCAGGCGACGTCTCCCTCTCTCTATTTCTTCCCTTCCAGGTGTTCCTGGAGCTTTCCAAGGAGCAGGAACTGAATGACCTTGATGAGGAAATTCACCCCTCCATGAGGTGGAAACTGCTCCCGAAGGAAGAACTTTGAAACTCTCTGTAACCTGTGTCCTTTTGAAGTCTGTGGCTGTACAGACTATGGGGTGGAGAGGTTGAGGACAGGCAAGGACAAGGAAAGGTGAAAGGAGGTGTAGACAGAGTGCCCCTTCCTCAAAGCCTCCATCTCCATGGGGCATCCTGAGCCTATTTTCTCTGTATGATGCTGAATGAGTGCATTTCATTTTCTAAGAGAGTTTAGGGCTCTGAGTATGCTAAACAAATCTTTTAAATCAAAACTTTAAAACACTGTTTTCCAACCCGACCCAAACAGTTCACATATTTTACTCTCTTACAATTGTATTGCTTTGCCAACCATTTAGTATCTGAATGTGCTGCATTTTCTTGTACTTCCTTGAAATATTTGGGATATCTTATAGGAAAACATTTGATAACATATCTACCAGTAGCACTATCACTAAGTATTAAGCTTTCCTGCCAAGTATACTATACATTAATTCTAATTTTGAGGTCACCTTGTCTTTATGTTAATAACCATGAAAGCCATAAAAATAAGCTTAAAACTCATTTCTTTGGGAAGTTTACATATCTAGCAAACTTTTGTGTTATATAGAAAGATGTTGGAAGGAAGAATCTTAGTAAGTACAAGTTTGGGTTGACCTCGTAGTTGTGATCATGAGTAAATCCCTCAACCTGACAAACTTGGTGTATTCCATTCTAGAGACTCATCTTAGTACTGTTGAATCCTATGTTCTATACGTGGAGCCCAAAAATCTATTCAATAAGTTCTCCAGGTGAGGCTGGTGCATGCTAAATTTGAGAACCATTAGGCTGGTTATACTCAATTGCCTCTTTGGAGACCATCAATTAAAAGTGCAACATTCTATAACCAGTACAAATTTCTTCAAAATGTAAAGGATGAAAAAATGATTATTCTAATGCTACCAAGGGCATTGAGAGACAGCCAAGAGTGATATCTACAATTGTCATTGAAAATATCTATAAAACCATTCCTGAAAATGAGATCAATGCAAATATGCTTTAGACGTTAAATAGAGGTTAAAGGTAACAATATTTTTGCTGATGTAATCTGTAGACATTTATTCCTTTCTTTTTGTTTTAAAAATTAGAAAAACTCATTGTTAGGTTTTAGCAGAAGGATTTTTTAATGTAATTGGGGGGAGATCTCCCCACTTACAATCTCAGGGGGCCTGGGGGCCACTCCCAAGTAATACTGAATGGTACTAAGGTCCAGAGATGATGCGGATGTCAGCTGTGCTGGGGCTATCAAGGCTACACTTGGTGGCATTTTGGGTGACGGTGGGGGTAAGGAGACAAGGACATCAGTGTCTGGGATTGGAGTTGGTGTCTAGCAGTGCAAAGCAAGTGTTCCAGAACTTTTAACTTTCTCCCCACCCACCACCTGGCATGAATTTTTACAGTATAATTCAAAGTTTCAAGTATATAATTTGATGATTTTTGACAAATAAATATATTACATATATTTCTATATACTTTCATGAGTCAATGCCTCAATCTGAAAAAAATAACTTTTTTAGAGTAGTTCTGTTCATAATAAATTGTTTCAGTTTCTGTTTATGAAAGTGACATGATTTTATTCTATATTAAAAGGGTTGCTGGATATGGGGCTCTTGACTTATATGTTTTTCCTTAAGTGCTTTGTATTATTCCAGGGTTATATCGCTTTTATACATTTTTATGAGAATTCACACCTTTCATTCTTGATAACACTATCTTTATAACATGAAGAGAACTTGGGCAGTGAATGTTAAAGTCATTACAATGAATGCCATATCAAACAAACTCAACTCTAATATGTATTTTCAATAACATTATTTTTGAAATTTGATATATTTTGCATTTAAATTTTTACTTTTCTTAAATAAATTTGTATTGTACCTCGTGATTATTTCTGGTTAATGGTGGTTTTTGCCATTGAAGATGGTCCTTGTCTTTGGGTTAGAAAGTCAAACATGAAGCTAAGCTTTTAAACGGCAGTCCAAAAAGAATTAGACATTTCTGTAGATATAAAGGATTCAAAATCAGAAAGAGAGAGAGAGAGAGAGAGAGAGAGAGAGAGAGAGAGAGAGAAGGAGATATGGAGGGATAGACAAAGAAGAAAAATGCCTGCCATAGAGGCAGGCTGCGGGGGAGAGGGGTTGACAGGAGGGATACTCAAGATATTGGTGGTGGTAAATGTGCACTGGAGGAGGGATGGATGTTAGAACATTGTATGACTGAAACCTGACCTGAAAGCCTTGTAACTATATCTCACGGTGATTCAATTTAAAAATTTTAATATACAAAAAAAGTCAAATAAACTGGTGTCACGTTCAGTCCTGCAATTTCCTATGATTATTGCCACATTATTAATTTCCTTGACTTTTATAGATTTCTTTCATAATTTGGAAATAAGTATTATTTTTAAATCTCTGGAATCATCAGTTGATGGTGGGAATGAATAGAAATTATTTATGTGGGGAATTTTTAATCATGGCATTTTAAATATATGATTTACAGGACTGTAAGTTAATACTTGCAAATTACAAAATGTCCCTTTCTTTTGAACTCATAAATTTTTGTCCTATTAATTTTCAAAATACTAATCTTATAATATCCATCAGTAAAAATTTCTCACTTAAAGAAAACTTTCCATTTAAGTTTAATGACCTAAATTCTAGAAACTGGATTAATAGCTTGAATCATTTTTATTCTCTATGTCTTTGATATCTGAGAAGCATAAAAAAATTCTAAGTCTAAAACTTACATTAAATATTTTACATAAAATTGACCACTGTGTACAACCAAGCCTCAAAGAATCTGAATTCAAAAGTAATTCCAAAAGTCTCAGATTAATAGACTATATAAATCTCTTAGACCTTTGAATATATAACATATATGTGCCATAAATATTTCACACATTTATTCTAACTTCCAATGTCTATAGAAACTTGACAAAGTAAGATCATGGTTCTTATTTCAGGAGGGTACGGGTTGGACCAAACCCAGTAGTGCTCAGGAATAGCTCTTGGCAGTGCTCAGTGGTTCATATGTGAAGCCAGGGATTGGATTAAAGTCAATTAATTGTGTGCAAGGCAAGTGCCTTCCCTGTTGAGCTATCTCTCTAGCCCCTATGGTTCTTATTTTGCAACAAAGTTGAACTGATGTTTAAAGATATTCTGTGATGAGAGAGCGAGTGGATTCCCTGTAGCTCATGACATTTTCATTAGCACATTGTACGTCCAACCATTCATAGCAACTGTGCTGGCAGCACACTGTGGACTGAATGCACCAATCCACTCTTTTAAGTGCTTAAAACCAAATTATTATGAGAAAAAGCCAACACCTCTGAAAATTAATTCCTTTGAATTACTTAGAAATTCACTCTTTGAGCTATCTCCCTGGCACCCAACTAACTATGTTTATAATTATTTATTTATTCATTTATTTATTTTGCCTTTGGGGCCACATCCAGCGATGCTCAGGGGTTACTCCTGGATTTTTACTCAGGAATTACTCCTGGTGGTGCTCAGAGGACAATATAGGATGCTGGGGATCGAACCCGGGTCAACTGCATGCAAGGCAAATGCCCTACCCACTGTACTTCGCTCTACCCCCCCCGCCACACACTAGCTCTTAAGTGTATTATTATAAGATCTAGAATAACAACAAAATAACAAAACACAGGAAAATAGCTCAACAGAGCATGGAGTGCATGCTTTGAGTATGGGAGGTCTATGTACCATTCTCAGCACAGCATATCCCTCGGAGCACTGCTGAGAGTGATGCTAGGAGTGAAGCTGGGAATTGTCCCTGAGCACTGCCAGGTATGCCACCCAAACAAAACAAAACCAAAACGTTACTTTCTGCTTCCATCAGTGTGCAACCAAATCATAAAGAGAGAAGACACCAAACGATAATTTAGTAATTAAAAGGTGACAAGTAGAAATATTTCCTAGAACAAACTCCTTTTTAAAGATCTACAATAGACCACGTGTTTTGCAATAGCCCAAATCTGGAAACAACCCGAGTGCCTGAGAACAGACGACTGATTAAAGAAACTCTGGTACATCTACACAATGGAATACTATGCAGCTGTTAGGAAAGATGAAGTTATGAAATGTCCAAGTGGATGGACATGAAGAGTATCATGCTAAGTGAAATGAGTCATAAAGAGAGGGACAGACATAGAATGACAGCACTCATTTGTGTAATATGAAATAACATACTTTCAGACTAACACCCAAGGACAGTAGAGACAAGGGCCAGGTCAGATTGGTCCACTCATGAGCTGGAGAAGACAGCTGCGATAAAGAAGGAATCACTAAATCAATGATGGTTGGAGGGATCATTCAGGATGGGAGATGTGTGCTGAAAGTAGATAAAGGACCAAACATGATAGCCTCTCCGTATCTGTAAAGGTAAAGGGTAAAGGTAAAGGCCCTCCCGTTGATCGTCGATTTGCTCGAGCGGGCCCAGTAACGTCTCCATTGGTGACTTTGTTGTTACTGTGTCTGGCATATCAAATACTCTCAGTAGCTTGCCGGGCTCTCCGAGAGGGGCGGAGGAATCGAACTCGGGTCAGCCATGTTGGCCGCTTGTAAGGCGAATGCCCTACCCGCTGTGCTATCGCTCCAGCCCTGTAAAAAAAATATTTCCTTCTATAAACTATAATGTCCAAAAATAGAGAGATAGTATGGGGGAAAATGTCTGCCATAGAGGTAGGGGAAGGGGGGAATAAGGAGAATATTAGGGACATTAGAGAGGCCCTCCCATTGATCGTCGATTTGCTCGAGCGGGCCCAGTAACGTCTCCATTGGAGACTTTATTGTTACTGTGTCTGGCATATCGAATACTCTCGGTAGCTTGCCGGGCTCTCCGAGAGGGGCAGAGGAATCGAACTCGGGTCAGCCATGTTGGCCGCTTGTAAGGCGAATGCCCTACCCGCTGTGCTATCGCTCCCACCTCTCTAAATAGACCTGCTCCAAGTCACGGTCTGCTTGCGGATCTGGGTTATCTCTGGCACTGGAAATGTGCACTGGTGGAGGGATGGGTGTTTGATCATTGTATGACTGAAACTCAATTATGAAAGTTTTGTAACTGTATCTCACAGTGATTCAAAAAATAAGGTAAAGGTAAGGTAAAGGCCCTCCCGTTGATCATCGATTTGCTCGAGCGGGCCCAGTAACATCTCCATTGGAGACTTTGTTGTTACTGTGTTTGGCATATCGAATACGTCACGGGGAGCTTGCCAGGCTCTGCCGTGCGGGCGAGATACTCTCAGTAGCTTGCCGGGCTCTCCGAGAGGGGCAGAGGAATCGAACTCGGGTCGGCCATGTTGGCTGCATGCAAGGCAAACGCCCTACCGCTGTGCTATGGCTCTAGCCGGGCGTGGTGGCGTGCGCCTGTAGTCCCAGCTACTCGGGAGGCTGAGACCGGAGGATCGCTTGAGTCCAGGAGTTCTGGGCTATAGTGTGCTATGCCGATCGGGTGTCCGCACTAAGTTCGGCATCACTATGATGACCCTCCGGCAGCGGAGCACCACCAGGTTGCCTAAGGAGGGGTGAACCGGCCCAGGTCGGAAATGGAGCAGGTCAAAAAATAAGATAATAAATAAATAACCATGTGTTTTAAAAACCAGGGAGATAGCAATTGCTCAAGTAGTAGCACGCATGGCAAGCATATGCAAAGCCCTGAGGCTGATCCTAGTACTGCATGTTATCCTCATCCACCACAAGCACACCTAAGGTGGCCCCGATGGCAGCCAAGTCTATTTGTTGCCCCGAGTGGCCTGGGTCCCTGAGGTATAGTTCATGTAGTTAAAAAATAAAACTTTCCAAATTAGTGAAGAGAATTCTCTGAGTTTCATCTGGCAGTTCTTTGCACATCCTTTTTTCCTCTTTGGAATCCCAATTGTTAGCAGTCCAGAAAACTCAGCATCCTTCCTTAAATCCTTTCCCAGGCCCAAGGTCTTGTGAGATCTGTGCATTCACCCTGTTCTGGGAGCTCAATGACTATCAACTTCCACTCAGCAGATGCACGAGCACTGTAGCACTCAGGGATGAGAAGCTCGAGCTAAACTCAACCTTGGATCTCCCACACCTCTGAGCAGACCTTGTTTCCTCCACAATCAAAATAGGTCAGTCCCCACTTCTGGGTTTTATCCTGACACCTCCAATGGACAAAAGCATTAACAAGATGCTGAGTGGCTATTATAGGCCTTTCATGGTACTCTCCCCTCCCTTCTCAACTGTCATAGCAAATGGACCTGTTTTCACTTCATTTCCCAAAGATCCCAGGTTGAAGTGTCTGCATACAGTATACAGGCATACTTAGTTTAATAGGAGACTTCCCATTGAAACCCACAGAGGTAATGCAAGCTAGTTCAAGTTATTTAGCATGTCAGTAGGAAGCTGTACCAAGCACAGTCCTAGAATCCACGGTCAAGTCTAATTAGTCCATAGACTTGGACCAGTCTATAGACAGAGCCTTGAACTCATAGACAACCAGGTCTTTGAACAAATGAGCTGATGACCGTGAATCCAGATCTTCAGTTTTACCTGATCTTCTTCAAGAAAATTTCTGCCCAAGTTTTCATGTGGGTTCCTGTGGGACCATCCACTGGTGTTGATTTCACATGATCTAACAGAAAAGGAAACCTGAGAGGGTAGAGCGATAGTACAGCGGGTAGGGCATTTGCCTTGCACACGACTGACCCAGGTTCAATTTCCAGCATCCCATGTGGTCCCCCGAGCACCGCCAGGAGTAATTCCTGGGTACAAAAGCCAGGAGTAAACCCTGTGCATCATTGGGTGTGACCCAAATAGCCAAAAAGAAAAAAAAGGAAGCCTGAATACATAGTATTTGATGACTTGCTGCAAAGTTACACCTTTCAAAGGCCAAAGA